AACATGTATATATTTTTTGTAAAAATAAATAATAATAATAATAATAAATTCTAATATTATTCGAAGTCTACTAAATTAATTCGACAATATTTGAACTCAATTTCATGGTGCTTTTGACAGTCCTATCATACGCTCATGACGGCAGGAGGGGACGGCAGTGCGTGAATGGATTTACCCCTCCCATTTGTGGTAGTTTTACTGATATTTCTTATCCCGTGCGAATCAGCCATTAATATTACTGACGTCCTGTGGTAAAGTGACATTACCCCACGTGCCCATGTAAAACTAATCCCGTCCGAATAGTGCTTAAGTGACCACTGGGAACAACAGTTTCTAAACTGGTCCACTATTGACTGAGACTGCTGCAGGCCGTGTCTGACAACATCATGGAAAAGATCTCTACACAGATAGACCTTTTTGTAAGAGAGTAAGATCCTGTTTGTTTAACCAGAAACAGCCCCAAATTCACTATTGCCAAACCCACCAGACTCCATTTAAAATTAACAGTAATTTTAGCGTGTATAGAGCCAGGGTGTTTTCACATCTAACTGGGTGAATTAAGGGTTTATTTCAACCGAACCAGAGCTGGTGATTTTTGAAACTGTGGAAAAGACACACAAGATGGCTTTTGTGTTCTGTTTTGCGTCTGTGGACTCTTATTTTACTCTTAAACAAAAAGGTTTATCTCTGACAATGTTGTCAGACAATTAGTATAATATTTTGAGCCTGTTAAGTGGCCAAAACAAGCACTTTTAGTAGATGTAAACTGATCGAGCACAATTGCCCCAGTGTGACTACATTGCAGACTGTATCGCTGCTGCTGTCTGCAGCAGTCTTACTCAATGCTTGACCAATCAAATCTTGTTGTTCCCATTATTCACTTATACACAAAAACATGGGAAAATAGGGTCCAGGTTGAAAAGTAGTGAAGTTTCCCTTTAAGTTACTGTGCCTACAGCTCATTAGTGGCTTTTTTGATATTCACAGGTAACGCCACTACAACACTATCTACTGTGATGTAAATATGCTACAGTCTGCATGCTTTCTCTGGATCTGTGACTAAAACTACATCTGTTTTGTTCTTTGTTGCCAGATTTGATCTGTCCGACAGGGACAAGTTCTTTGACAGCAGGACCAGGAGCTCAATAGTAAGTATTGGTTTTAGCAGAGAGGGTGATTCCCTCAGGAGGCCACAGCCAGGTTTAACCCGGCACAGTGACAGCATGTGTATGAAATGTTGCATTTATGGTTGTCCCCTCCCTTAGTATAGACAGATGTGTATTTCTCCATAGATCTAACAACAAAGACGTGACACCCTGCACTCCCTGATGTGCACTTTCCTTTAATAAGACCCCCTCACTCCTGTGTCCCGTGTCATGAAAAACAAATACATTCTGTGAACATGCGTCATACATGTGCTGCTGCATTGACATTAACACCTACACAGCACCTCGCAGTGCTCCACTAATGACTGGATAATGTGATTCTCATCACTGGATGGAGCTCCTCAATCGTTGGCTCCAAGCTGAGCCTCAGCTCTCATCAATAAGAATCTGTGTTTTACACTGACCTCATCAGCGGCCTCCCTGAGGACCGACTCACAAAACTCAGCAGTTTGCCTGCTTCATTGTCCCTCCAACAGTTTCACCTGTGCTCTTATTGAATATTCAGCTCATCCTCCACATCTACATGATGTTAAGAGTGAATGTTATCTTCTGTCACCAGGTCTATGAGGTAGTGAAGAGGACAAAATGCACCAAAACAAAATACTCCATGGGTAAGCCTTCTGCCTGCATCTGTAATACAAGAGATAAATCAATATGCAATTAATGTGGGACCTGTTTTCATCAGCGTATAGTGTAATTACCACACAGAAGAGTGCAGCGTGTGCCATTCTTTCACCAACGTATTTCCAAACCTAGTGCTTAGATTTGCTTGAAATGGATTGAATCTTGATTTTGGTGACCATCTGAGCTAAAATTTATGTTCCTCCTGACTCTTAGCTCAAGCAGACATCATTTGCTGTGCAGATACATGATCCCGAGAGAAAGAAGCCTTTCTCGTACAGTGACTCTGTGACTGTTCTTCTAGTGCTGCCATCATGTCAAACATGGATAAATTAGTAAACAGGCCTCGCGGGCACAGGCTCAGGGGGCCAAATTGTCAGAGCCCCACCAGAGAAAGATTAAAAAAACAAAGAAAAACAGAAAAAAGACCACAGAGGTGCAAAGGAACTGCAAAGAGACACAAAAAATAACTAAAAAAGGACAAAATAACCACAAAAAGACAAAAAAAACAACCTCAAAGATGCACAAAACCACAAAAACATGCATAACAACTACAAAGACACACAAAAGTCTGCGTGACAAGTGGTGGGGCCCTTTGCGTACTTGTGCCCAGGGACCCATTACCGTATAACCTGCATTATGTATGCAGCTTATCTCTCATCCACACAGTACAGTGCTGACTGAAAGTGACAGCTAATTGGAGAGATTATTGAGCCGTGGCTGATTACGGCAGTCTCTTGAGGGTTATGCAGTCGAAGTCATTTGATGAAAATATAACAAATACGTTCAGGTTCGTTTTTGAGGCACGAAATGCAAAATAAATCCAGGAAAAATTAAATTATTTCCAAAGCAAAGAAAGCCCAAAAGCTGATGAAGAAAAATCAAGTCAAGTCACACACTTTAGGGTTTGATCTAACAGAATACACACGTGTGTCTTCATCAAGTGGATAAATATTTGCTACTCTGGTTCTTCAGCAGCCTGTAAAAACAATCACACACATTCACTCAAAATGTACTGCCTGCGTGATCGTTGTTCCTGATGATGCCTGACTTGTACTCTGATTTGCATTGTGCCTCATGTTAATCTGTTTTTTAAAAGATCTCCCCCTGGTGTGTGAACAATCTATAATTTACCCTCTGGGGATCAATTAAGGTTTAACATATCTTTTAAATAGGATGTGATTAGTCTGTCCTATGTCAGGTTCCATCTCATCATCTTACAACCACTGGGACACTGTCATTAAGACAACATTTCATAATTAAATGTCCATTTTTAAACCTGTATTATACACCAGTGGAACAAAAGTACGGGGTTAGGTTCAGAAAAAAACATCATGGTTTTACTATTATTATTATTATTGTTATCATTAAAATAGCTTTTGACTGTTGGTTTCACACGGGACATGAACAGCAGCTCCCAGGTGGAAGTCCAGAGTGTGTTTGACCAGCCACCTCACCTCCCGCCTGCACTATGCTGACTTACTCGCTCTTAATACAACAGTAGCTGCTAGAAGCGTCAGAAAATGCGACCTCCTGGTGCGTCTCATACCACCGCCAAAGGGTGCCTCTGTGTGTCCGTGTCTGATGCCGAGGGCAGCTGGCCAAGCGTTATTATTTGAAGAAATGGGAGTGAGACCGGGTCGCTAATGTCCATGACCAGAGGCATTATGTTTTCAGGTTGTCCGTCCGTTCCATTATTATGAATGCAATATCTCAAGAGCGCCTTGAAGGAATTTTTTTCAGATTTTGCACGAATGCTCAGTTTGACGCAACTATGAACTGATTCGTTTTTGGTGGTCATAGGTCAACGTCACTGTGACTTTTTCTGTTTCATTCTCGTGAATGCGATATCTCTCAGGACACCCAAAGGGAATTTCTTTAAATCTAACACAAACGTCCACTGGGACTGGAGAACAAGCTGAATAGAAATGTGTGCTTGAAGGTCGACGGTCAAGGTCAGTGTGACCTCACAAAATATGTTTTTGGCCATAACTCAAGAATTCATACCCTAATTATGACAAAACTTTGCACAAATGTCTAACAGGATAAAATAATAATAAGTGATGACATTTTATATCCAAAAGGTCAAAGGTCAACTTCACTGTGACATCATAATGTTCTGTATAAAACACTTTTTGTGGCCATTACTCAGCGTCATATCTCAAGAACAGAAGGGGAGACATGAATGGGTGACACTAATCTTGGGTGCCAGCCTTGAAACTGTGGTGATTGTAGAGCTCTTCTGTGCTGCCGGGGGAAAATGTGTGTGAAGCACCCATGTTTTCACATCATGGATTTAAACTCTAAGTGCAACTTAACCGGTGCACGGAGGCCTACAAACGTGGGACGGTAATTCTAGCTGTAGGGCAGTTTACCATCATTCCTATCAACAACTTTATACTCACAAAGTTAATGGCGTAGATCTGAGAACATGGCTACATTGATAAAAAAGAACTCACAGATTTTAAATATTCCACAGTTTATTTGGACGAGAAAACAAGCACAGTGCAATATCCCCCAAACTGTCTGTTGTAAATGTCAGTCACAGTTTACAGACAGTCATCTACTGTACTGTGTGCATGCAGTTTGCTTGTACAGTGAGGGATTATCAGCAACATCTCAGGAGCACTTACTCTCAGTTTTACCAGCAGTTACTTTGATAAGTGCAGTATAATAACCAATAGGAATGATGGCCAGAGCTCCAAATATACTATCTTGTTGTAATAAGGTGAAATTACCCTTTAAGATAAACTACGTCTACATGTAATTCTTCACTGTGAAATTTTGAGCCTCAGAGAGGAAATGTAACATCTGTCATGTCTGGGTTTAACTCACTGGGTTTATGTTCCTCCAGAGCTCTTCTACTGAGTTTCGCAGTGTGTGTGTGTGTGTGTGTGTGTATGTGTGGGATTATAATCCTGCCTATATGCCTTCTTACAGGGATCACCAGTCTCTTAGCCAGTGGCGTATATACGGCTGCTTATCCCCTGCATGATGTGAGTATCACCATCACACTTTATCATCACCTCTCCCCTACTGGCCCGAGAGCAGCTGATAAATCGCCATTTATTTACTGTGAAAATTTTCACATTCAGTGAGTTTCTAATGGGAAACTCAACAAAGCGTCTGTTGCTTGCACTCTTTAATTTACGATGAAGAATCCCAGTTGTGACCTGGTTTACTATCAGGATTCTGACAAATGGCAAATCATAATTCCATGTTTAATTAAAGGCATTATTCACCACATACATGATGAACAAAGTGTAAAATTAAATCAATATATGTGTGTGTGTGTGTGTGTGTGTGTTACAGGGAGACATCGAGGGGGTGAACACAGAATCTAACGACAGGAAGGTAAGTTGAGCAACTCCACCAGTCGATAAACTGAATCAGTCGTCAGCACACTGACACTTTCAATCAGTTTACAAATACTTTGTCATCAGTTAGCCTAAACATTTAATATTAGGAAACCAGCTCAGATTAACTTCATGCAGACTTGGCAGTCTCGGCAAGAAACCAGGGCTAATTACTTTCGTTCGGCTCAGCGCTCTGACCAGGCATTGTTGTTCCCGTCTTCCCGCTGTGGAGCTAAGGCGTCTGTGTGGCAAAACTGGAAGTGCACCGCTACTGCGGGGGGGGGTCATCCAATCAGAAAGATAGACTGAGAGTTTGAATTTGAGTTAAGATAATTAATTGGTTAAAAAGGAAAACAATCAAGGCATTGAGGATGGTTGTAATCCAGATTGTCCGGCTGGCCAGTGCCAGCTTTTTCGTCACATTTTTACTCGTCAGTTCATAATGATCGGAGATTTTGTTTTCGTTTTTGTTGTCAGTACTTATTAAATTTACGTTCTAGTTACAAATTAGTCACGGAATAAAGGGTTGTCACCGAAAAGTTTTCGTTTAAGTTTTAGTTGACAAAATTAACACTGGCTGTGTTGAGTTTTATTTAAACAGAAATGAGGGTGTGTTGAACCCGCTGTTGTGTGTGTGTGCGTGTGTGCACACCACCTTTTAATACAGCAGAGTTTAATGAACTTAAAGTTGAAGGGACTTTTACTAGCAAGGACCACGCCACAACAATATGTCCTTTGAATGTTTAATTGTAATTCAGAAAGTGTTCGTTTCTGAGGAGTGATGATTGGATGTAAGTGGGGGTGAAGTTGGAAGAGGGATGTCTTCTGATAGTGTGGTCTGGGACGATGTACTGAAGATCAGGCTGAGGGAGACTCAGTGTGGAGGTTCTGTCTTGTATCAGTAGCCCTTTTACACTGCCAGATTTTCGACGAATGTTGGGCCGTTTTGCCGGCAAGCTGCGAGCGTTTAGACAGACAGAGCCAGATTGGCGAGTTGATCCGAGGTGCCCAATTTTCCTCCTCGTCTTGGCGTAACCCTTTTAGTTTAAAAAGAACGAGGTGCCCTTCCGCCACGGGAGGGGCTGTTGATGACTTGTGGGAGGAGCTGTTGATGACGCTGCACGTGTGACCCACTGGCGGTGGATAAACAGGACACAGCTGATAGCAGGAACGAGCAGCTAGTAGCAAGAGGGAAACACAAACCTGACAGACACTGTAAAGATGAGCAACTGTGGAGACAAAGAATTGTGCGCCCTACTTGCCCTCGCAAACGAAAAGGCCATTACCTGTCAGATGACGGGGACGGTAAAGAACGGGCTGACTTACGAGAGAATCACCGAAGGACTGACCAGCCGCGGCTTCCCTCCAACGTCACTGTTTACGTCACACGCTGAGCTACACGTTTTGTTACTTGCTCACGCCCCCATTGCCCCGAAAAAGGTGCATTCTGTATAAACAAAAGTAGGTAGGCAGCATTTTGCTGCACTCCCCGATTTTGTTTTTGTTCTGCCAATGCTGAAAAATGTCAATGTTCTGAGCTACTGTAGAAACATTACGGGGCAACGTAGCGATCTCAGTAGACGAGGATCCACTCCCTATGTAGATATAATCGCTCATTCGAAGGTAACAAAAACACGATGATTCTTATTTTCAGGTGATTATACACTAAAGACAACATACTTTTACACAATTATATCATTATCCATTTCTGCCAGTATGTCCCCTTAAATCATACACACTTATCCTTTAAAGGGAAATCATTTAACCAACTAGAAATTTTCTTTTTACAAAATGTCATTTATGTGCACATGATATATTGGAACAACTGCAGGAGAAGTACAGAAGGTTACAGGTTTAATTTCACCTCAACAATGTTTTCACTGCTTTTATGAGGAACAGATCAAATGACAGAAGCAAATTGCTTTCAAGTTAATTAAACATTAATTTGTTTGAAGTGTCGCCAGTTAATTCAAATGAAGTTTGGACGCTTGTCTATTCTTCATGCTGAATGCATCACAACAGAATATCTGTAATTGACTAAAACATGCCACTCAATTAGTCATACCTTTGGGGTTTATTTCCAGAAGAATGAGTAACAAAGCACGACAGACTCTCGTGCTAACCTGGCAGCGTTTGTGCACGGCCGAGCCTTTGCCTCCTACTGTACAAGAATAAAATCAACCAGGCAATTGGAAAGAAAATCAGAGCTCGTGCTGAGTCTGAAGTCATCTCCTCCCCTGCTAACACTCTGCATAATTACACTGTAGGCTGTGTGTCACTAAGGCAACAGCCTAATAATTCCCCCTCTGTTGTTCTCAAACATCAGATAAGCTTCAGCTCGGTGCTTTCAAGCACTTTAGCTGCAACATACCTTTATATTTCCCACAATCCCACTTATACATGTGCGTATAAGAAATGGGTTTTCCTCGACTGTAGGAATGAGAATGTTGAGTCTCAGTATCGGAGCTCAATCCACTGCGATCTGCCTCCTGAACGCTCCTCTGGGCCTGCCTCCTGTGATTAAAAGCCTTGGTTTGTTGCCTTGCTGCTCTGCCTGTAAATGTGTGTGATTGTGTTTGGAAAAGCGTTTCATGGTGATTTATGTGCTCTTTGGCTCCTAGTAGTAGGAACAGAGCACATACACAGTCAGCTGTTTCATTATCATTGTAGAGACTGTATCATACAGCGGTGTTGTGCACATAAACACCCCCACACCTATCAGTGTTGTTTTATTTGTCATGAGCATTTATCAAGGTCTTAAATGCACCGCATAACATAAATTATACATGACAAGAATTAACAGCACATTGAATTATAATTTGCTAAAATACTGATATTAATAAAAAACTTCAACAGGCACTGAAAACTAAATGATACTTAAAAAGTAAATGGGGAAATATGCAGCTTTAGATTCATAATTCACCGCAGAATTTCCTACAGATGGTGATGAGATGTGCATCAGTACCATATTTCACCTGCCCATGTTCTCACTCTCAGCTCATCAAATACAGCAGCTTGGTCAGTGGCCCTGTGCTTCAAACTACGACTCTCTAGTGTCTTTTCAAAGTTCATGTTCAAAGAAAACACGTTTGTCACCACACCACTTTAGGTTAAGGCAACAAAACGACCGTGGTTTTTTATATAACCTAACAGGCTGTTCGCATAAAGTGTTCATATGTTTTCCTATGAAAAGTAATGCACCAAAATACACATATACATGTACATATCCCATGTAATCATGGGCCAGTAATTTGTGCATAACCCACATATTTTGGAAGGCTGCGATCACGTTGCTAATGTGCTGACAGCAGTAAAGAAGGAAATAGTCCCAGTTGTAAGGAGGCAGGTGGGGTGGGATTTTCTTTCCCCTGGAGACATTGACATTCGTGGGGCACCAATTTATAGGATATCATATGAACTGTTACAGGTGCATTTTGGGAGGATGGCACACAAACTGTTCTACATTTAATAAGTTAAACGTGCAATATGTAATTTTCTGCCGCTAGGGGTCTCAAACCAAAACAATAACAGAAGACGGAGTTGGATACGTCACGAAGCAGCGTGGGATCATGGGAGTTGTAGTCATATAACAGATACAGATCTGACGTTCCTCACTCCATGAATTTACTGGCATCAGCTCAGCATTATAGAAACCTATCGTTAGATGTTGTGGTTAGCCAGCCTCCGCTCCACACCGCTCTGCAGTGGTGGCCGCTGGCCGGAGCGCTGGTGTCCCGGCGGGCAGCAGTGCTTGCAATACACTGGTGGAAATGATTAATATTTCGATAACATCAGCCAGATGTTTGCTTACATGTCTAGTAGAACACACGCGAGATCGGCGTCGAATTGTAGTCCTAGATTTTCACAAAGCTCTCTCCATCTCAGAAAGGCCACACCAATATTTATCCTTGATTTAGCTCTATTCTTATCACAAATTCTTCTGGGATCGCTTGGTTGACCCGTACGTTTCCGTTTTACCGGCTTGTTTACCGGGACAGCTTTGGTGTCAGAAGGTGCAGCAACAGTCAATGCATAATAGTTAGCTTAGCCTAGCAACAGTAACATTCATTCTCTGACGTCTCATCCAGTCTGCTTCTTCTTCTTCTTCTTCTCCTTCATTTAATGGCTATGGTAACTGGAGTTACGCCGCCATTGCGACCTAATGACACGGTCCGTAACTTTTATTAATATTTCATATTTATCTGGGTTTAAAAAATTGTTGGAAACATTTCTGATAATCAAAGTACACAACTAAACAAAATATATAATATTGGTTTAGTTGTTTTTAGACATTTTTATGTGGAAAAACTACATATTATACCTTTAATGATTGTGTCGTGACAAACAGCGGTCTCCTGTGTCAAAGTTCTGCGTTTGTTTGACCCTTCCACCACCCGTCCTTCCCGCCCTATTCAGACTTTCTTACTCTTTTTGTTACATCATTGCCGCAGGGTTTGCTTAAATCCCAGTATGTCTCATGCAGATGCAAAAGGGTAAAGGGAATCTGAAGCTGATGGCCACTGACCAATCTGCCGTATTTGATGCCCCCAGAATGAAAAAGGACTGGTCTATGATACAACTCGTATTTTGCTTATATTATTATATAATAATTCTAACGATGCACATTTTCAATGAGCAAATCTTCCAACCCTCAATGACTGAAGGTTTCTTTTTACTAATTTCTTGCACATTCTTTAGGTCATTTCTTCTTTCGATGCTCATCGCCCTCCATGTTTTTGAGAGAAATCGAGCCAACTTGCTCAGCTTTCAAAGGGTTAAATTTGTGACAGAAATCCCTGCTGAAATGGAATACAGTCTGTCTTTAAGATAAATGGTGAAATGTTGTTCAGCCGGCAGCTTTTATTTATTTATTTGTTTTTTGTTTTGTTTTTTTTCTTTTTTGACTGCATTGATTTATTGCCACCCAGCGTCTCCTTTGGATGCGTGACCAGAAAACTGTTGTGGCCTCACTGTACAGCACAAGCTTGGCACTGCTGTCTGAGAAAAACATATGTTGCTCTGAATATGCTGCATCAGTGGATTTATAATACATTATGCAGATTTATTTGCATATATATCTTTAGTGCATCAGAGAACTGGCTGTGATGCATGGTGGTGCGTAATACCATACATTAGCGATCGCCAACTGGCGGCCTGCGGACCACATATGTCCTTCTGAATATTAAATCATTTAGAAAGTGTATTGAAGTGAAGCAACCACCAAAGACAGCTGATGTGGAAACAATTTTATTAGGAATGATTTACCAGCCCTACACATGTGCTTTTGACCTGCAGGTACTAAAGACGTTAAAATCCATCTGTCAGCTTATTATTAGCTGCAGTGACGAGGCAGGTTCTATACGCTTAACATCAAAATATCAAAATGTCGAAAGGTGACAAAGCAGCATCCTGAATAAGTTGTTAATAACTCACAAAAACATTGCCTGTAATTGTCCATCTTCTCTGTCTATCTCTTGCACACATACACACACACACACACTCTGCAGCACTCTGTGTCTCACTGTGCTCTTATAATGCATAAAAGTCATGGTTTGCAGGTTGTGTTGGGCTCAGGTGGTATATTAATATATATATTGCTGGTTGGGCGCTGCAGATTGGACAAGTGAAACTGAAACTAATTCTTTTATAAATGGGATGTTGCTTTGGCCGTATCTTCCTGCAAGACTGGGGACAAATTCATGGATCTTATTTAACATTTTTCTTCCCTGACATGCTCTTATTAAACACACTGTCCTATTTAAAAAGTAAAAACCTGTGATTAAATAATATCTGATTCATGACCAACATAAAGAAGTAAACTAGCTGGTCACTGATAAAATGTGAGTCGATTTAGCTGACATAGTAAATTCATCATCGTCAACACAGTCATCTGTTACTCATCTCTCTGCTGCTCTGAGTTCTCTTTTGAATCTCAGTTCTACTTTGACGGTCTTTCTATCCATGTGAATTTTCTTTTAATGACTCTTATACAGTACAGGCCAAAAGTTTGGACACACCTTCTCATTCAATGTGTTTTCTTTATTTTCATGACTATTTACATTGTAGATTCTCACTGAAGGCATCAAAACTATGAATGAACACATGTGGAGTTATGTACTTAAAAAAAAGGTGAAATAACTGAAAACATGTTTTATATTCTAGTTTCTTCAAAATAGCCACCCTTTGCTCTGATTACTGCTTTGCACACTCTTGGCATTCTCTCGATGAGCTTCAAGAGGTAGTCACCTGAAATGGTTTCCACTTCACAGGTGTGCCTTATCAGGGTTAATTAGTGGAATTTCTTGCTTTATCAATGGGGTTGGGACCATCAGTTGTGTTGTGCAGAAGTCAGGTTAATACACAGCCGACAGCCCTATTGGACAACTGTTAAAATTCATATTATGGCAAGAACCAATCAGCTAACTAAAGAAAAACGAGTGGCCATCATTACTTTAAGAAATGAAGGTCAGTCAGTCCGGAAAATTGCAAAAACTTTAAATGTGTCCCCAAGTGGAGTCGCAAAAACCATCAAGCGCTACAACGAAACTGGCACACATGAGGACCGACCCAGGAAAGGAAGACCAAGAGTCACCTCTGCTTCTGAGGATAAGTTCATCCGAGTCACCAGCCTCAGAAATCGCAAGTTAACAGCAGCTCAGATCAGAGACCAGATGAATGCCACACAGAGTTCTAGCAGCAGACCCATCTCTAGAACAACTGTTAAGAGGAGACTGCGCGAATCAGGCTTTCATGGTCAAATAGCTGCTAGGACACCACTGCTAAGGAGAGGCAACAAGCAGAAGAGATTTGTTTGGGCCAAGAAACACAAGGAATGGACATTAGACCAGTGGAAATCTGTGCTTTGGTCTGATGAGTCCAAATTTGAGATCTTTGGTTCCAACCGCCGTGTCTTTGTGAGACGCAGAAAAGGTGAACGGATGGATTCCACATGCCTGGTTCCCACTGTGAAGCATGGAGGAGGAGGTGTGATGGTGTGGGGGTGTTTTGCTGGTGACACTGTTGGGGATTTATTCAAAATTGAAGGCACACTGAACCAGCATGGCTACCACAGCATCCTGCAGCGACATGCCATCCCATCCGGTTTGCGTTTAGTTGGACGATCATTTATTTTTCAACAGGACAATGACCCCAAACACACCTCCAGGCTGTGTAAGGGCTATTTGACCAAGAAGGAGAGTGATGGAGTGCTGCGGCAGATGACCTGGCTTCCACAGTCACCGGACCTGAACCCAATCGAGATGGTTTGGGGTGAGCTGGACCGCAGAGTGAAGGCAAAGGGGCCAACAAGTGCTAAACACCTCTGGGAACTCCTTCAAGACTGTTGGAAAACCATTTCAGGTGACTACCTCTTGAAGCTCATGGAGAGAATGCCAAGAGTGTGCAAAGCAGTAATCAGAGCAAAGGGTGGCTATTTTGAAGAAACTAGAATATAAAACATGTTTTCAGTTATTTCACCTTTTTTTGTTAAGTACATAACTCCACATGTGTTCATTCATAGTTTTGATGCCTTCAGTGAGAATCTACAATGTAAATAGTCATGAAAATAAAGAAAACGCATTGAATGAGAAGGTGTGTCCAAACTTTTGGCCTGTACTGTATGTTCTGCACACATGTCACATTAAAGGCTCTTAATGTGAAAAATATGTGCAGGATGTTTCATTGGCAGTATAGTAGCTGAACACCAGAGCTCAAGTTAACTGATTGATCAGTGTTATTAGTGTTATTAGTGTCATCCCAGACGAGCCCCCATTTGTCACAAACAGGCTCAGTGGATTTGACAACTAAGACAAACTAAGATTAACTCGAATAAACAATGGAGTGTGTAGGTCAGCAAAGTCAGCCATGTGTGGATGTGTGTCAGGTGTGTGTTGTGAAGGTGTTGAAGGTGCACATCGAAAAGCAGTGATGCAGGGAGAGAGCGAAAGAGGGAGAAAACACAAGGCAGCTTTTATAGCCTGGAAGGTCCAGGTGAGCTTAATCAAGGTAACGACCCTCCCATGTCAGCCAACTGCCTGATGAGGTTGTCCGGAACATCCTCCCAGACAGCAGAAGGTGTGTCACAATCACACACACACAAAAAAAAAAAATCCTTTATAATCGACCAACTATATAATGTAGGTACTTCTGTAAAGAAACAGTGTGTAGGATTTAGGAGGATTTAGTGGCATATAGTAGTGAGGACTGCAGATTGCCACCAGCTGAAACTTCTCCTGGTTAGAATTCCTCCAGTGTTCATTGTTCAGGAGGTTTATACTGGGAGTTGAATTAGTCGCAGAGGTCTCTTCCTCTCCAAAACAAAGAGACCAAATTATTTAAACCGGTGAAAACACTGAATAAAACAGTTTGACGTTACAAATCAGTGTTTTTTCTTGCAATGTTTGGCATGTCAGAGACAGGCCGCTAGCCCAGCGCCTGCTAATCTGTGCTCACCTTTTCACTTTATAATTTAAGATCCAGACATTCAGAAGGTTTTTACCAGGAGCTGAATGATACATAGAGGTGTCTTCCCCTCCAAAACAAACAGACTCTGTAATTTAAACCAGTGAAAATAGTGAAGAAAGCCCTCGTCGTGGAGGGGCTGCTAACTATGGTGGATGCAAAAATGCCAGCGTCCATATCTAGAGCCAGTAGCATCTTTTACACTGCCAGATTTTTCGTGAATGTTGGGCTGTTTTGCCGGCAAGCTGCGAGCGTTTAGACACGCAGAGCCGGATTGGCGAGTTGATCCGAGGTGCCCAATTTTCCTCCTCGTCTTGGCGTAACCCTTTTAGTTTAAAAAGAACGAGGTGCCCTTCCGCCACGGGAGGGGCTGTTGATGACGCTGCACGTGTGACCCACTGGCGATGGATAAACAGGACACAGCTGATAGCAGGAACGAGCAGCTAGTAGCAAGAGGGAAACACAAACCTGACAGACACTGTAAAGATGAGCAACTGTGGAGACAAAGAATTGTGCGCCCTACTTGCCCTCGCAAACGAAAAGGCCATTACCTGTCAGATGACGGGGACGGTAAAGAACGGGCCGACTTACGAGAGAATCACAGAAGGACTGACCAGCCGCAGCTTCCCTCCCACGTCACTGTTTACGTCACACGCTGAGCTACACCTTTTGTTACTTGCTCACGCCCCCATTGCCCTGAAAAAGGCGCATTCTGTATAAAAAAAAGTAGGTAGGGGGCATTTTGCCTCACTCCCCGATTTTGTTTTTATACTGCCAATGCTGAAAAAAGACTGATTGGGCTTTCCTGCAAATTTGCACAATTCCTATTTAAAAAGGGTTAGTGTTTGTTTTGTTTATTTTGGGCTACTGTAGACGCAACAACGCAACAGTTTTTCTTCTCAGGTGATTACGCACTAAAGAAAACATACTATTATATTATATTCCATTTCTGCCAATACATCCCCCTAAATACTAAACACTTTAAAGTAACCTAACAAAAACTCTCAAAGCCTCTCTTGTGTGTATATTCTCTGGTATTGTTACCTCTACGATAGTAAACAGAATATCTGTGTGGCTTGGACACTTGGTCGAACGAGACAAGTCATTTAGAGCCGTAACCTCGGGGTCATGTGATTGTCTTTTTTTACTATTTGCTGACATTTTATAGACAAAAATAAGGGTTGATTTATTGAGAAAATAATCAGTGGGTTAACTGATCATGAAAATAATTTACAAGTTCCCCCAAAGTAGAAAGATCTGAAAGTAATTAGAGGATAAAAATTGATTCGCGGTATACTGAATTCATTAAGAATAACAGGTAACAAGAAGTGATTTTTTGCATTAACAGCTGCCTGTGGTGTCTGATATATGATATAATATATGAGCATTAATTATCGCCTCCTGCTTCTCTTCACAGCTGCTGTACGAGGAGTGGGCCAGCTACAGTGTCTTCTACAAGTACCAGCCTATCGGACTCATCAGGTCAGATCCACAGCAGTGCTCTTAGTGTCACAGCCGTCAGGTGAATTACAGACGCATTAGCAGACCTCACATGCCTGCCATGGCTGGTGCTCTCACAGCAGCTTTAACTGCCGTCACCAGCCTGAAGGCAAGAAAGACAGATGAGGACTCTCACAAGCAGATTGATGCTCCACTGAAGCATGATGTTCCTCTGCAGAAACAATAGTCATGTGCTGAGCTGAATGTGGTCCAGGAAACAGACTGGGAATGTAAGCTGAATCTCCTGTAGCTCCTTATCAAACACACTCTGCTCAGGGACTGCAAGCTCACGATCATCATGTCGTCATGTCAGCAGCCATGATATGATCTTATTTTAAAGACTGCAGTCAGTGGATGAAGGGAAACTTTTCAACATTCCCTAAACATATCAACCGTGAGCTCATTTGGTGTTATGATGGTAGTACGGTGTCATAGTTAATTTGACAATGATGTATTGATGTTGTAAATGTACCTTTCACCTTTGGTTTATCATCTTCAACAGGAAGTATTTTGGGGAGAAGGTTGGACTGTATTTTGCCTGGTTAGGAGTCTACACACAGATGCTGATCCCTGCAGCCATCATTGGAGTCATTGTATTCCTCTACGGCTGTGCGACTGTCGATGATAACATACCGAGGTACACCACACACACACACGCGTGCGCAGGGTGTGAACTACAGGCGAGCCACTGAGAGCTTGGCATGACATGGGACATTTTTTCCCCACATGTCTATTTTCCTGTCTTCATCATCCCGGCTCGTGTGTAATTTTAGGCGAATATTAATGTGTGATTCATGCATGAAGGTGATTCAGCGCTCATTCACTTTAATAAAGCTGCTGTATACCCGTGTGGAGGTTTGTTATGGGCATTAACTGATTATTATGTATCAGATGTACTGATAAAGCAAGTAGGCCTACATGCTCGCAGCTATGAATGTTCCTGTGCAACATGAGTCACAGTCTCTCTTTGAGGCACTGCCCCCCCACCCAACCACCCCAACCAAAAAAAAAAGTGAGCTCCCACAACAGAGATGGTATAGTTCATACACTGCAAACACAATCTCACACAGACACATATATCTTCACTCATGTATTCTTTTTCATCTGTTGCCAGACTTCTATAATTTTCTCCCCTTTATATCTAAAACAGAAAAGATTTTCTCTCCTCCTACTGAAGCTGTCACTCATTTTTTTTGTACTTTCTGTGACAGTAAGCCATAACTAATCAAATCTAGCAAGGTTTAAGATGCAGTTGTTGTTGTAGAGGGCGGCACGGTGGTGCAGTGGTTAGCAGCCACCTTACAGCAAGAGGGTTCCTGGTTCCCTGAATACGGGGTGGGGGAGCCCCTCTGTGCAGAGTTTGCATGTTCTCCCCGTGTCAGCGTGGGTTTTCTCCGGGTACTCCAGCTTCCTCCCACAGTCCAAAGACATGCAGGTTAATTGTTGACTCTAAATTGTCCGTAGGTGTGAATGTGAGTGTGAATGGTTGTCTGTCTCTATGTGTCAGCCCTGTGATAGTCTGGTGACCTGTCCAGGGTGTACCCCGCCTCTCACCCAATGACAGCTGGGATAGGCTCCAGCCCCCCCGTGACCCCCAACAAGATAAGCAGTTACGGAAAATGAATGACTCAATGAATGCTGTTGTAGAGTTCTTTCTTGGATCGATTAAGTAATCTTTTAATGTAGGCTATGTATTGTTAACGTTCATGTTTTTCTCCAAACCCTTTGTTTTATCTAACAAAAGAAGCCAGAGTTCTCAAATGTGAAAATGTTGTATGAACTCAAGCAGTCGTACAAGACAACCTATCATCATACAATGGTTCGTATGAAATAACGAATTAGCACTCAACATAGGCTGACTTAACATCAAGTTTTGTACTTAACATAAAGTTACATAGTTTAGGTTTAGGAAAAGAAAATATGGTGACAACATAGTTGTCACCATAGAAGTGTAGAAGTGCAGATTGTCCACTCATCGGAAGAGCAGTGGTTCGACCCCCGGCTCCTCCAGTCCGCATGTCAAAGTGCGGTCAAAATACTGAACCCCAAATTGCTCCTGATGGCTGTTCCATTGGTGACTGTGTGTGAATTGCTGCTAAGTAGCAGGTGGCACCATGTGTGGTAACTTTGGCCACCAGTGCGTGTGAATGTTTGGATGAAAAGCGCTTTGAGTTGTTGGAAGACTAGAAAGGTGCTATCCAAGTGCAGTCCATTTACCGTTTACCGTTTATTTGTTAGCTATTCAACTAGCCAGCCAGCCATGACAACTGGTCTAAAATAGTTCAATAGATTAATTAAACCTTCATGAGTTCACCTGGTCACTGCTGTTGGATGAAAAGCTAAGGACATTTTCATTTTTGCCCAATGCATTTTTATTTGTCTCATTGATCACTGCTGACATCATGTCCATTTAAACAAGTTATTGTGTTTATTATTGAGTCTGAAATAGTATATATTCCAAAAATATCTGAGCAAGATTGTTTCACCTGTTTTTCAGTGCAAATTAGATTGTTAAAACATTTTTTAAGAATCACAAGTCCGTTTTATGTGAGTCTAATATAGTCATGTTTTTTTAGTTTGAAACATGGTGAACTCATTACAACACATTCGCAGTTTTTTTTTTTTGTTTTGTTTTTTTTGGTGGTATGAAGCTCGATGGTAAACACCAGGCTTAGTCCACACCCTGACTGCACCCATTCACATAAACACATGCTAAAGCTTTAGGTTTGTTGCAACACCAGGTCTTTGCAGACTTTACTTGTACAGAGAATGTCAGTTAGTGTTTGGCAATGTGATGAGGCAGTATATTTCATGAGGCAATAGACACCGTTCATACTGAGGTTGTCTCCCCGTAATGTTTGTGGGGAGTAGATTGATGTGTGACTTTGGCATCAGTGTGATGCAAATTATATCTAAATCCGGTATTTTATCAGCCTGGTTTTCACATCCAAAAGTAATTTCATCATGATTGTCTACAAAATTGGTTAATATCACATTGTAAAGTCACACAGACAGTGACAGATTATAATATACAGATCAGTATAATCAGTCTGAAGCTATCTCTAAGCCTCCACATCCTCCCTGCAGCAGTGCTCCATATTAGGTCGATGTGAGTGGAAGGAATGTAATCTGGATATTTGGAAATACAGTCAAAGGTAGCCAGAAGAAAATGTTGGCATTGTACATTTCTGCAAACCACGGATACGTTCCAAAAGCACAACGTTTCTAAAGTGAGGCGACCCAGGCGAGACACCTGCCAAGCTGCAGACCTCTGCTCAAGACCAAAATACAACAAAACCAGTCATGATTTGGCGAGTCATTGCTGCGTTTCTAATGGTTTTTGAGGCACCAAACATGGGTGTTTTGTAGGGAATCATTACTGTTTTTCCAGCAGGGATAGCGACATAAAACGTAGTTGTTTTTTACCGAGACATCGCTGCATTTCCAGCACATATTGTGCCCTCACAACAGGGAATTTAAACCAAAAGATGATCATTTCCTAACCACAGTCAAGTGATTTTTGTGACTAAACCTAACCACACATTTACCACCTCATGTGCAAATGAAACACATCAGAGGTTTGCAGAAACACTTGGGATGCATAACCCGGAACTTCTCAGCGAAAACAGAAAGTTTAGTCATATCATTGATCATCTATTTTAATTTTTGATAACATTTCAACGCATTAAAAAAAAGGATGTTATGTTGCTTTAAAAAAGGAAGAAAGATCACCACATTAAAAATGGTTTAACATGCCGCTTAAGCAACGTATCTCCATTTAACCATTCGTAAGATATCCTATGAATTAGCACCCCATTACGTCCTTAATGTAAAGATACGTAGGTTAGATTTAGGCAAGTAAAGTAACTGTGGTCAGGTGAGGTCATGAGGTACCTTAAAATGACTCAAAGTTCACTAAAAGATTTGTACCTTGTTCACCTGGGGAAAGTCTTGTGTTTTATCGCTCTTCCACCACCCCAACCTGCCTCCTAATGACTCATGTCAACGCATTGGTCACATGATCGCAGCCCACCAAAATACATCGGTTATGCACAAATTACTTGGAATATGGACAAATTTGGTGCATTACTTTTTGTAGTAAAATATGAACAGTGCATGAGAACCACCTGGCCAAAGACATGACATTCACATTTGCTTGTTGTCATAGTAACACAACTTTCCACCTCTGGAGTTTTTCAGGAGCTCAGCAGTCAGAAAAAAATAGTGACGGTCAGAGCAGCGACGGAAAGATTTGACACCAGAGCTCAAAGACGTGCTGATATTTCTCAGCCCTCAACACGGTCTGACAGGGCTGAATCTGAGCCTACAAACATAATTAAAATCACACTCAACATTATTCAGCGAAAGACTTAACAGACAGGTTTTAGCTGCTGGTGGTGAGTCCCCTCTAAGCGGAGTCAGACATACAGCGTGTGCTCTCCCCACACATCAGCTGTAGCCTCATGTGTCACATTAAAATGCCTGGGACCTTCGTTTGTTCCTTTGTCCTTGTAAATATAAAAGATGTAATAAAATATGATTAAAGGCTCTTCTGTGTGGGGTTTGCATGTTCTCTCTGTACCAGCGTGGGTTTCCTCCCACAGTCTAAACACATGCAGGTCAGGTTAATTGGCCCGTAGGTGTGTGAGTGTGAGTGTGAACTGCTGTCTGTCACTACTGTATGTGTCAGCCCTAAGACTGACTTATGATCTGTCCCAGGGGTTCCCCGCCTCTCACCCAGTGTCAGCTGTTCAAACAAATTAGCATTTGTGTACGTTTAATGAACAAAAATCTAAAGGCAATTCTTATGTTATTGCTCCTTTTTTTTCACAGGTCTAAAGATCCAAGACTTTTTTGTGCACTCTGTAGTTGTATTTCTCCCAAATTTTGGTCACAGGTTTGTTAAAATCTGTGTTGATGAGCACTTCTCCTCTTCCAAGATGATCACACAACACAATGCCACAGATGTCACAGGTTCTGAGGGAGCGTGCTAGCAGACTGCAGGAACATCCACCAGAGCTGTTGCCCGTGACCTGAATTTTTATTTCACTATACCATAAACATTCTCCAATGTCGTTTCCGTGGATTTGGCAGTGCATCCAACTAGCTACACAACTGTAGACCACGTGTAGCCACACCAGATCAGGACCTCCACATTCGGTGACAGCTGATGCAACGACTGGTTTGCACAACCAAAGAATTTCTGTACAAACTATCAGAGTCCGTCTCAGGGAAGCCCATCTGGATGCTCATAGTCCTCAACAGGGTCCTGACCTGCAGTTGGTTGCTGTAACAGACTTGTGGGGTTGAGATCAGTTGGTTGGACTACCAGTTCCTTGATGATAGTAGGCACTTCTCTTTTCCAAGGTAATCCATCCACCTGACAGGTGTACTTTGGGATGGTCTCAGTAAAAGGTCACTCTAAAATGTGCAGTTTGATGCCACAGATGTCGCAGGTTTTGAGGGAGGGTGCCTCCAGAGTCCGTCAGGGGTGTTGCACATTAACTGAGCGTTCATTCTACCATAAGCTGTCTCCAATGTTGTTTCTGTGGATTTGGCAGTACATCCAAGTGGCCTTGCAACCCCACAAGTTGGTTACAACAACCAGCTGCTGTCAGGTCCAGACCCTGGTGAGGACAGTAAGTATGCAGATGAACTTCCCCGAGACACTTCCTGATGGTTTGTACAGAAATTCTTTGGTATTACAAACCAATCGCTGCATCAGTTGTCTGGTTGGCTGGTCTCAGAAGTCCTGAGCTGGTGTGGCTACACGTGATCTGCAGTTGTGAGGCCGGTTTGATGTACTCCCAAATTCAGGGCAACACCACTGGAGAAGGCTTTTGGTAGTGAACAGTTCTGATGGACATTCCAACACATTCTCACTCCAACCTCGTCACATATTGACGTTTTGGTCATGGGCTTTTCTACGACGTGTAAGGTACCCTGGGTGTGTTGGTTGTTGACTTTCTGGGACGCCGTGTCAAGTTCTGCCTGTTACATGCATTGTCTCCTTTCAAGATACACTTCTGTCTTCACAGGAAATTTACAGTTTACATACAGTCTCTTTCATATTAGACGCACTACGTCGGTACAACACCACCAGTTGACGTTTTCTTTCTTTCAGCAGTAAAAACACATGGTAAGGTTCAGGAACAAAGAACAGGGTTTGGCTTTAGAATCTTACGGGATGAGAACACCGCTCTCGGGTGAAAGTCTGTTTGTTGGACCCATCCACCTCCCCTTAAGCTCGCCCCATTCAGACTTTTGACTCCTTAGCTGTTGTCCTTGTCCCACCGTGTTTCGCCGTGATGCCGCCGGGTGCCTCTAAACTATAATGGCAACCGGCAGCATATCATGCTGACGTGAAGGGACAGCTTTTTTAGTTGGTCTCTGACACCGCAAGTCACTGCCCAAGTGCCGGATTTCAAAGACTTCAGAGTGAGACCAGGCTCGACATTCCTGCAGTCAGCTTGGCAATGGCAGGCTCCCTCAAAACCTGCAAAATTATGTTGCATTGTGTTTAGTAACCAATGTGCAGAGAAGCTTTTTATTGTATCTAGTGAGTGCATAAACAAGTCTGAGATCTTTACCTTAACCCCGTGAAAAATGGGAGCAAAAGCAAAAGTGTTGCATTTAAAGTTTTGCTCAGTATATGTGGCTGTTACGGGTGGTTACGCCATGACAAAAAGAAAAGTCCCCTGGGAACCACTGCTCCAGAAAGACAACATGCAGAGGCCCTTTCTCATTTCTGCCATGTAGCCTGAATCCAAACTCTTGTTCTGATCTCTCTCCAGCATCATTTTCCTCTCTTCTGTCTCTTCTCTGTTTGTCAGTATGGAGATTTGTGATCCCAGGAATAACATCACCATGTGTCCACTGTGCGACCGCGCCTGCAGCTACTGGAAGCTGGTGACAGCATGTGGTACAGCACGAGCCAGCCACCTGTTTGACAACCCAGCCACCGTCTTCTTCTCCATCTTCATGGCCCTCTGGGGTAAAGAACCATTTGCATCCAGTCACACAAACAGAAATCAAAGACTCAATAAGGACGAGTAGACGACGTTACAAACACAAGAATAGACACTACCATTAAATCCATTCAGTACTTTTTTGGCAGGATACATGGATGCTGCACCTTAGGCCCACATAAATTTACAATAGTGATCCACAAAGGTAACTCTTGAGTAAACACAGAGACAGTCCTCCTCTGATTTCCTGACAAACCATGCTACCATCTGTTAGTAGCAGCAGGGCTTCAGATCAGAGAGGTGCAATGTGTTTAGATGAAGCTAGTGTCTGACGGAGTCACAGCATGCCTGCCATCTGGGTTCACGTGCTGAAGACCTGATGATGGAGAATACCACATACTTCCCTTTATCGGATATTACTGCATCAGCAAATCACAACCTGTATGCATGTATACAAATGAAAAGCACTTCATTATGCTGCAGGATATTGCCGTTATCGTCAACTAATGCATTGTGTGTGCATCAAAGGCTGATATATCTTCTCCCTCTGTGCTGTAGAGCTTCATTGTTGTCTATAAACACATTGGTGAGCCACACTGCTGCACTGGGTTCCTCTATTACAATGAGCACACACTGTAGTTTATTTTGATTCAATTCCACATACACCATCCTGCTGCCACAAATACTCACCAGAGCCCCAACTGTGGATTAATCCGAAATAATCACTGAGCCTTTTTTAAAAAATGAAGCAAAGACACGTGATCAGCTTTTAAAGGTTTGCATCTTTATTAGGAACCAGCAGACTCGGAGCTGAGAGCCACAGACAGTAGTGAGAGATTAAATATTCATTACTGGTATGGGATTTGAAAGAACAAAAAAACAGTATTTTCATTTTTATTGCCAGTGTAATTGCAATTGATGATTAATGATGAGTCATGACCAGGGCGCCCTGTAGCTCAGTGGGTAGAGTGGCCCCTTGCTACATGCCGTTCCCTCTGTCTCCCCCGATCATGCCTCAAACTGTCCTGTGATTAAAGGCAAAAAGCCCCAAAAATAATCTTAAAACAAAGACTAGTCATGACTGGTGTCAATCATATTTAACATCAACAAAATAACCATTTATATTAGAGTCTAAAATAATTTCGTGACAGGAACCCTGCATAGTTGGCAAGTCTTCACATGACCATACCACTCCATATTCCTTGTAATTCAAAGATGGCGGTAGTAGAGACATGTGTTAAGTATGTGTTTGAGCCTGTGTTAAGTCAGCTGTGTGTGCTTGGTTATGTAGCGGTCCTCTTCATGGAGCACTGGAAGAGACGACAGATGCGACTCAACTACATCTGGGACCTGACAGGCTTCGGAGAGGAGGAGGAGGTGAGATAACGCTACACATGACTTTTGTTACTAAAGATATACAACCACGAGTGAATAGTTGGAAACAATTGTTTGACGTTTTGGTAAATACAGTTATCCACGTCACTGCTGAGAGTTGAGAAGATTGATACCACTCTAATGTGTGAACGCTAAATATAACACTACAGACATGAGCTAGTTAGCTCAGCATGAACACTGGAAACATGGGGAAACAGTAGCTAGCATGCCAAGCTTTACCTCTAAAGCTCCTGAATTAACATTCAGTACCTTGTTGTTTAGTTTGTACAAAAACTAAAACGCAAAGATGACTGAAAAAATTAGATTTAACATGTTAAAGGGGAGCTACGCCCATTTTTGAAACTCATACATGTTATTCCTATGGTCTAAGACAGTCGTTCCCAACTGTTGGGTCGCGGTCAAAAAGTGGGTCGCATGTCCATTCTGAGTGGACTGCATGTGACTCGCGAACATGTCAAGTTTGTTAAAAACACACTTTATTTTAAAGTACAGTAAATGTCAGGCACAGAGCTTTTATTTTGAAGTGCTGTAGAGTGAGTGACTAACGGACAGCTGCTTGACAGAGACAGAATACTAGCTTGACAACAATGACAAACTCAAGTACAACACTGAATATATTAAACTATATTAACTAGAGTGCTACATGTAAAACTCAAATTCGTGATGTCATATGCCGCGGGTCCAACAAAGCGTTTTTCCCCAGCTGAAAACACTAGGTGCTCCTCAGGAAGTGCCATGCAGGGAGTGTTTGAGAGCGCTTTGGAGGCGCAGCGTTTTTCAGCTGAGACGCTTTGGTTGCGCCTAGTTGCAATGACATGACAATAAGTAAAAATGTCTGTACAAGAGTTCTTGCTCTGGATGAGGGGAAGCTGAAGCATGCAAGAAAATGGGACAGACCCGCTCATCTGTGTGGGTTCATGAGAGGAAACACAACATATACAGTATATGTACGTTGGACATTTTCCAACACTTAGGGAACAAAAACACCCAACAGTTCGTTGCACAGTGTAAATACGCAGTGCTTCCATTGCAAAGCATTAAAAAAAAACAGTGGCCTCAGAAAAAAAAACTGATGGACACGGCCCCATAGACAGGATCGAAGGACTGGACCCCCCCACCAGTTCCTTGCCTGGTCAAGTCACTTTTACGCTAATCCTTTCTTTGTTTGAGGCACCATGTATAATTTCTTGTGTTACTTAACTTAAATGCTGATGACATTTTTAAAAGGATCATATTCATATTGATTTCAGTCCATTAAACATTAGACTTAACATTATGCATTAGAACATTTTTCGAACGTTTCCTCCTTTCCAGTGAAACCATTAGTTTCCATTGAATTCAGATCACCATGCAGAAAACATGAGACTTGCTATCATATACAAATTACGTAAATTGAAAGTCTCTGGAAGTTCATTTCCAGCTCATTGAAATGAATGGAGACAAATGGCTGCCTGGAAAATTGGAAATTATCCCAACAACTTGCACGATCCTTTTGAAATTACAGCCAGGAAATTACAGGTAAGTATTGTATATTGTAGAGTTGTGAAGTGGCCGCAGCTGTTGTGGGTGCTCCTGACTCTGGAGCTCTTCTCCAGCTTGGAACAGCATGAAACTCTCCTAGTTGTATTTGTACACAGGATTAACAACGTTGAAAAATATCTGGGGCCAGATGCATGAATAATGTGTATGCACAAAACACCTTTTCCCACACACAATCTGGTATTTATGAATGAAGAATGTGCAGTGACCAGGTGTATGCATGCACGGTTTTAGCTGAGATAGCTACGGGTGATATGATGAGGAGCAGATTGAATATAAAGTGGTTAATGGCAAATGGACCTGGTAGCAGAGGCTACCGTACAAAGTGCCACCAGCTACGCAGCTTTAACACACTCACACACTGATGGAACAGCTATTGGAAACAATTTGGGGTTCAGTGTCTTGCTCAAGGATACTTCGACATGCAGACTGGAGGAGCTGGGGGTTGAAATGTTGATCTTCTGATTAGCGGGCGACCCGCTCTACCTCTGAGACACAGCTGCCTCCAATGAGAGATGGATAACACTAGTCGACCAACAGTCGTCATTTAGGGCCATTAGTCGACTAGTCACCTGCATGTTTATGATATCAATTTGATTATTAAATGATATGTTGTGGGCGGGGCAACACAGTGGTTTGAGTTGAAGGTGTAAGAAAGAATAGTATCAGTAACATTGTTAACACTGTGCTACATTACAGAGAAATACAAAACCGTACTAATGAACCTTCATTAATATAGGCCTATATTTTATCTACAAGTGCACGTCACACACTGAGCGAGCCGCCTGTTAATGACGCTGTGGGCTAATGGGCATGTAGCTACTACCATGTTTCAGATGATACGTCATGTTTGTAGTCGACCAATGAAGATGAGTTTACATATCACCTTGGGTTCGTCCTTCACCTTCTCAAAATGATCCCACACTTTGGATTTCCTGCCCGACATGTTATTAACTAGCCTGTGGAATAACAGCAGGTACCAGCCCTGGAAATTAACCTGACTCCTGTCTGAATGCTGAGTGTGGACACTTCCTGTGTCTGTCCTTTCAAATTAAATTCCCACATGGTCCAGTCATATAGGTTTGGATTTATTTTGACAAGGTGCAGCTCCTAATAGAGTTTCACGTTTGTTTGTTTGTTTGTTTTTCTGCGACTAAGCGACCAATGAAATCTTGCCGACTAATGACCTTTCTGGTTGACTATTAGGGGGCAGCCCTAGGATCCACAGAGTTTAATGCATCTGGTCCCTGGTTCTTTGATTAAAAAGTGGCAGGTACAGGACTGTGTACGTAGAAACTTGCTGGGTAGAAATCAAATACAACTCTTGAGGCATTTCATTAAGAAACATCCAATCACAGAGGTTAAAATTCTGTTTCTTGAGGCGCCAATAGCGAGTGCAAGCTTATGATAAGGGCACTGAGAAAATGTCATTCCAAAATGACAGACCAAACATGAATTTTCCGACATGAATGTTCAGAACATCTGCCTGAAGTCTTGTGTTTACATATTCAGTAATATTGAGATTGAGATATTGATATTTATGAAATAAATTATAAAAAATAATAATAAAATTGCGATGGGAATACAGAATTCCAGAATCAACTTAAAAGTTAGAAAGTAATGAGGATGACATGAAGGTCAGGAAATGCATGTGAATGTACCTCCTCTGTCTTTTGTGTGCGCTCTGTAGTGACTCAGCCCTCGGCAAAAATGTTCCCACACAAACATCACTATCTTTTAAAGTCAGAATGAAAAGGAACAAAGCACGACTGTCTTCTTTTATGAGGGATTCTGTTGTTTTTATCCTCTTTCTGCTGCCTTGCTCTTAAAGTGGCATGGAAGTGTTTTAATCCTCAGAGACAATGAGCGCTGACTGACGTCTCATCCCTATGTGTTTGTGTGTGTGCTCTATCTTACAGGAGGAACATAAGGTTTGGATCCAACTTGATTTATTTTGCTTTAACTTTGATTCTTTTTCTCTTGACTGGTCATTTTAGATCTGTTCTGCAGCTGCTAACACTAAACCTTTCTCCCTCAGGGTGGCTAACAGTCTGCCTCAGGTCTTTTTCACTTCACACTCTCTTTATCTCTGCAGCTTTTCTCTTTCTCTCTGAGGTTCATCCTGATGCTGGCCATCCCTGTGGCCTCTCGTTGGTGTGGCCTCTCGACACAGAATTGTCGCTGTTGTTTGTATTTAGTGACGGCAGCAGAGATGACAGGACAGTCTGTTGACTCATAGCTCATGTCTCTGTCCTCCTCTTTTCCCTTTGTTTCTCTCTTTTTTTAAATATTTCCCTGTTAAAGTAGAGACAATTGTGGCCTCCATACCCATACGTCAGCAGCACAAAGACTCCCAAAGTAAAATAAAATACCTTTAAATTGAAGAAGTGGTGCAAACATATGGGTTAAGCACCTTTTTAAATGTTGTAAGAGGATTAAAAACTCTGTTGCCCTGGTGAGTCTGTTAATTTTGAGTACGTTCTAGCACTTTACATGCAAATGGATTAATATGATTTATATAGCTGGAATGATAATTTTATCCCATGGTGACTTGAGTTTCCAATATTGTTGAGTAATGGCCCAATGAAAGAAGTCGCTTCCAAAAGGGACCCTTTATCCAATTTTCTCCTCACCCACAAGAAACTCATAAAGGCCCACACAGTCTCGTAGGATCAGTTGTTGAACCCACTGAGCCCCACATAGTTTACACAGTCCCAGCCCTCTCAGCTCACTCTTAACTTTTATCTTATTGGGCCCACATGGACATGTTGGCTGGGAATACAGAGGCATGTCAAGCCCATACATTTTTAAAATACGTGAAAATATGTTTCTCCAAATTCCTCACAAGCTTAAAAAAGACCAGAGGAGATCAAAAATGCAGGGTAGCTGGTTCTGATTTTCCTCTGAGATGAGCTTGAATCTGTGTTTTGAATTATAAAAACAAATTTAAGCTGAACTAAAAGGTATTTTTATACTACCAGAGGTGTAATGAGCGTGTCATTTAAAAGGTGTCGCTTGCAGTGATGAAGACAGAGAGTTATCACCTGGCTCTGCAGTTACTTCCAGCTCTCTGTTTTTCTTCTACAGCCTGCAGCTTCAGTGTCTTGGTTCTGCTTTCAAGCATTTAGCAAATGATGAGTTTGTGGAGACCAAGCCGGAGATGGAAAGGGAGTGAATATTATCGTCGTCAGGAGGCCTAACATAATTCGTAGTATTACTCTGCATCCACTGATGCATACATAGCCATTTGCTTACACATTTACAACGCCAACTTGAAGTATTTCACTGCTGGAAAGATGGTCTTTTCACAAAACGGGGCTGTTTGTGCAGTAGAAAGACACAAATCATTTTGAAAGTGGTGCTACATGACCAGAGAAAACAGAAAAAAGGGACTGTGGTGTCTGCTTTTACTCAAAAGGTAGAAAACCTGCAACTACCAGAGTGCACTGCACCGCACCAGACCAGTAAACACTCCTGCTGGTGGATTACTTAATGTGAGTTGCTTGTCGAAACAATATGGCAGTCAGCTGGTAACAAACAATCTCAAAATCCAGATAAACAGTAAGATAGAATATGCTTCTAAAACATTGCAGAGGAGAAATAGGCGACTGTTACAAGACACCTAACGTTATGCCCGACTCGTTACCTAACACTCCTAACGCTGGTCATTGTAACTTTTAACTAAACTTTGTTATTTCCCTGCGGTGTGACTTGAACGTATGCCTCACTTACCTAATGCGTGTAGATCTCTGAGCTGTCTAGGGGGTAAATGGGTTACTCACCCTTCATCAGACCCGACAGCTATGGTAGGCGGCCACCCCGACCCGACGCTTCGGGCGTCACCTCCGTTTCTGTAGAAGTGTAGTGTGGCGTGGCAGTGTGTCGGCGTCTCCAGCAGCCAGCCTTGACTCCAATCAACCGCCGCCTTTTCAGGTGTGTGAGCTCCTAGGAAGGGGAGTTACCCAATACCCCAAGTGGAACATCAGCCTCTCCCTGCTTCCTAACTCCACCCCTAACCATACACCTAGGCCTCCTAATTATGTGCCATAACAGCGACGCAGTAACAGAATCTCTTTAGCACGTCCCAACCCTCACCTATGGTCATGAGCTCTGGATAATGACTGAAAGAATGAGTTCGCTGATACAGGTGGCCGAAATGAGTTTCCTCAGAAGGGTGGCTGGGCTCAGCCTTAGAGATAGGGTGAGGAGCTTGGACATCTGGAGGGAGCTCGGAGTAGAGCCAACGCTCCTTCGCGTCGAAGGGGTCAGTTGAGGTGGTTCGGGCATCTGATCAGGATCCTCCTGGGCGCCTCCTATTAGAGGTGGCAGACCCAGAACACGCTGGGTATATCTGTCTAGCCTAGGGACGCCTTGGGATCCCCTAGGAAGAGCTGGAAAGTGTGGCTTAGGAGAGGGACGTCTGGGGTGCTTGGCTCAGCCTGCTGCCCCCACGACCCGGCCCGCATTTAAGCAGCTGAAAATGGATGAAAGCTTAGTTCTAGTGTTTGTTCTTAATATTTTCACCCTCCATTTTTACAATAGGGGCCTGGCCCGAGTTCACACAGGGCAACACTACTGTTTACTCTTTGTCTCAGCAGCTTTAGTCTGTATTTGGGTCTTTTAATGTCTGTCTTCACTCTGTCTCTTTATCTGTACATCATCAGCTTAACACGTGGAGCTTTAGGGCAGAAGTGACTGACTAACCCTCAGCTTTGTTTTCGAGTTACGCAGTTTCCTCTGTAAACGCAGCACCTCTTCATTCCTCTCGGCTCATGCAGACTGCGTCACTGTGACATGGGTACACGTACGCTCGCTTCCGACTGCAAATAACATGGATGTTAAATGTTAACGTTGTATTCCTCACCATGAAAGGATTGTTTGACGACAGTGCAAATTCGACACGCCACACCGCAGCGCTTTGTGTATTCCATGGTCAGTTTGGCCAGTTTGCAGTTTGGCCTAACGTGCATGGTGGCTATATCAGTCTGTGTGTCCGATACACACACATACAGGGATATGTTTAGCATAGCATAAAGATTAGAGGCAGAAGGTAACTATTAGCGTAGCCCTTAGCCTGGGCAAACATTTCTGCACAGCCACAGTGTTTTGTAACAACTTATGTTTGATCATAAACCTTTAGTTAAACACTTGAACATGACAAGCTTTTACATACAGTAAGCTGCAGCAACAAACACAGTAGTTTGAGTGTACATAAGTTAAAAGTTGACTTTGGGTGATGATATGTTATTCCAGTACCAAAGTACAGTTTGCTGTTAGTTTTACATCTTTAATCCTTTCATTATGGGTCGATGCATCTCTCTCTTTCCTTGCACAGAGCGCTTTGAGCTAATTTTAACAAACCATTTTGCCAAACTTCATGCAAACAGGCTGGTTGTTTAGTTTCCATCTCTATTCTGACACTCCTTAGCGATCTTCTCTGCCAGTACATTTACTGCTTACTAACATATCAGGCATCTACTGTACATCAGTAACTGTAACATCCAAACTGATTTTTCTTCCAGGACCACAACCGAGCGGAGTACGACTTACTGCTCCGGCAAAAGGAAATGAGACTGGAAAATTCAGGCAAGAAGGTAAGCATACCTGCACAGCCACCCTCTCATTTGTCCATCCTGATCTTACATTTGCTGTTGCTGATTGTGTGTATATGTATATATAATAGTTACTATTCCATTTCCTGCCACTTAGAGCCTGTTTACACTTGGTGCTAACATGCGTTTTGGTGATCCACACATAAGTAGACAGCTGAGACATGCCGCCATTCAAACCTGTGTCTGTTGTGCGTCTCCAGTTGACCACTTGTGTTCAGATTTTGTTACTGCCTACATCACATATGCTAGAAGGTTAAAGGCCTCCATGCAGAGCTATTATGTCCACACACTTGCTATCTGCCCACTAGCGGTTATCGGTAAAGCTGGAGATATCGCTGTCGGCAGGATTCAACCTGGCAAAACGACGGATGGTCACACAACACTTCACCCAACTCATCATAAAATGAACAGTGTCACCAAGACACCCACCACATCCTGTATTAGTCATGTAATCCTTGTCAGGGACGCATCAGCGCACATTAGCGTTTACACTATAAAAACTATGTGGTCAAATGTGTCCCAGACGAACTTGGCAAGTAGTTGGAGCGATTTGTTTACATTGTGTCTCGGTNGTTACCCAATACCCCAAGTGGAACATCAGCCTCTCCCTGCTTCCTAACTCCACCCCTAACCATACACCTAGGCCTCCTAATTATGTGCCATAACAGCGACGCAGTAACAGAATCTCTTTAGCACGTCCCAACCCTCACCTATGGTCATGAGCTCTGGATAATGACTGAAAGAATGAGTTCGCTGATACAGGTGGCCGAAATGAGTTTCCTCAGAAGGGTGGCTGGGCTCAGCCTTAGAGATAGGGTGAGGAGCTTGGACATCTGGAGGGAGCTCGGAGTAGAGCCAACGCTCCTTCGCGTCGAAGGGGTCAGTTGAGGTGGTTCGGGCATCTGATCAGGATCCTCCTGGGCGCCTCCTATTAGAGGTGGCAGACCCAGAACACGCTGGGTATATCTGTCTAGCCTAGGGACGCCTTGGGATCCCCTAGGAAGAGCTGGAAAGTGTGGCTTAGGAGAGGGACGTCTGGGGTGCTTGGCTCAGCCTGCTGCCCCCACGACCCGGCCCGCATTTAAGCAGCTGAAAATGGATGAAAGCTTAGTTCTAGTGTTTGTTCTTAATATTTTCACCCTCCATTTTTACAATAGGGGCCTGGCCCGAGTTCACACAGGGCAACACTACTGTTTACTCTTTGTCTCAGCAGCTTTAGTCTGTATTTGGGTCTTTTAATGTCTGTCTTCACTCTGTCTCTTTATCTGTACATCATCAGCTTAACACGTGGAGCTTTAGGGCAGAAGTGACTGACTAACCCTCAGCTTTGTTTTCGAGTTACGCAGTTTCCTCTGTAAACGCAGCACCTCTTCATTCCTCTCGGCTCATGCAGACTGCGTCACTGTGACATGGGTACACGTACGCTCGCTTCCGACTGCAAATAACATGGATGTTAAATGTTAACGTTGTATTCCTCACCATGAAAGGATTGTTTGACGACAGTGCAAATTCGACACGCCACACCGCAGCGCTTTGTGTATTCCATGGTCAGTTTGGCCAGTTTGCAGTTTGGCCTAACGTGCATGGTGGCTATATCAGTCTGTGTGTCCGATACACACACATACAGGGATATGTTTAGCATAGCATAAAGATTAGAGGCAGAAGGTAACTATTAGCGTAGCCCTTAGCCTGGGCAAACATTTCTGCACAGCCACAGTGTTTTGTAACAACTTATGTTTGATCATAAACCTTTAGTTAAACACTTGAACATGACAAGCTTTTACATACAGTAAGCTGCAGCAACAAACACAGTAGTTTGAGTGTACATAAGTTAAAAGTTGACTTTGGGTGATGATATGTTATTCCAGTACCAAAGTACAGTTTGCTGTTAGTTTTACATCTTTAATCCTTTCATTATGGGTCGATGCATCTCTCTCTTTCCTTGCACAGAGCGCTTTGAGCTAATTTTAACAAACCATTTTGCCAAACTTCACGCAAACAGGCTGGTTGTTTAGTTTCCATCTCTATTCTGACACTCCTTAGCGATCTTCTCTGCCAGTACATTTACTGCTTACTAACATATCAGGCATCTACTGTACATCAGTAACTGTAACATCCAAACTGATTTTTCTTCCAGGACCACAACCGAGCGGAGTACGACTTACTGCTCCGGCAAAAGGAAATGAGACTGGAAAATTCAGGCAAGAAGGTAAGCATACCTGCACAGCCACCCTCTCATTTGTCCATCCTGATCTTACATTTGCTGTTGCTGATTGTGTGTATATGTATATATAATAGTTACTATTCCATTTCCTGCCACTTAGAGCCTGTTTACACTTGGTGCTAACATGCGTTTTGGTGATCCACACATAAGTAGACAGCTGAGACATGCCGCCATTCAAACCTGTGTCTGTTGTGCGTCTCCAGTTGACCACTTGTGTTCAGATTTTGTTACTGCCTACATCACATATGCTAGAAGGTTAAAGGCCTCCATGCAGAGCTATTATGTCCACACACTTGCTATCTGCCCACTAGCGGTTATCGGTAAAGCTGGAGATATCGCTGTCGGCAGGATTCAACCTGGCAAAACGACGGATGGTCACACAACACTTCACCCAACTCATCATAAAATGAACAGTGTCACCAAGACACCCACCACATCCTGTATTAGTCATGTAATCCTTGTCAGGGACGCATCAGCGCACATTAGCGTTTACACTATAAAAACTATGTGGTCAAATGTGTCCCAGACGAACTTGGCAAGTAGTTGGAGCGATTTGTTTACATTGTGTCTCGGTGCTTGTTTACACTTGTACTTAGCGCAGTCCACCTGTGATCGGATCAGCTGTTAATACCAGGTGTAAACAGGCTCTGAGTGCACTCTGAGCCACATGCTTTATTTGTTACACAATGTGTTACTGAAACGGCTCCCTAAGTGTTGCATTATTTGATAATTAAATACTTAAATATAAATGATAGCTACTTTTCTGCGACTTAAAGGTTAAGGTGAAGGACTATGTGAACAAATCCAGTTAAACCAGTAAGGTTCTGATGAAAATGTCTCAAAAATACAGTGTCACATAATGAGCTTTTTGTCATAGCATATATTTATGTCATTTAAAAGTCCGGTGAGTGAGATTTAGGGGATTCAGTGGAATCTAGCGGCGAGGATTGCAGATTGCAACCACCTGAGACTTCTCTGTTTTTGAATTCCTTCAGTGGTCATCGTTCAGGAGTTTTTTTTTACCGTGAGCCGAATTATCTGCAGAGGTCTCATCCTCTCCAAAACAAACATTTACAATACAAATCTGTGTTTCTACTGCTGTTCGGCATGTCACAGATGGGACGCTCACCTAGTACCTGCTAATAAATGCTCACCTTATTTCTGATCCAAACGTTTTGGAGATTATTACCATGAGCTCAGTTATCTACAGACGTCTCTTCTTCTCCAAAACAAACAGACCAGGTGATTGAAAGTGGTAAAAACACTGAGCAAGGGGTGTCCAGTGGCTTAGTGGATAGAGCAGGCAACCCATATACCGTATGAGGGCAGTTTCCTTGCCACAGGCTTAATTCTAGCCTGTGGCCCCTTGCTGCATGTCATCCCCCTTCACACTTAGACTGTCTCATCTAATAAGAAAGATCAATCTTAAAGAAAAAACACTGAATAAAATAGTTTCACATTACATAACAGTGTTTCTCTGATGCTGTTTGACATGTCGGAGTCAGTCGCTAGCCCAGTACCTGCTAATATGTGCTCAACTTTTTTCTTTAAGAACCAGACGTTCAAAAGGTTTTTACCGTGAGCTGAGGCAGAGGTCTCTTCTAGGTCATTTAAGCAACTACAGTGGCCGAGGCAAAACCATGAACAGCCCTACCTTTGCTGGTTTGGTTTGTCTGTTCTGTGCTGCTGTTGAAACATGGAGATCTCCGCAGACAAGGACCCATTCCCTATGTAGATATAAGCAGCTCATTCTAAGGTAGCAAAAACACATTGACTCTTATTTTCAGGTGATTATACATTGAAGAAAACATACTTATTCTAGTATATTCAATTTCTGCCAATATATCCCTTTAAATCCTGCACACTGGGCCTGTAAAACTCCACAGTACTGGTTTTGATCATGTAGAAATAGACTGCAGCTGCATTTGTAGTTTACAATACTGCATCATTTTCTAAAGCATGCCATCAGTTTTACACTTTCAGTTTCACTTTAGGCAGCCGTTCGTTTCAGTTTATTTCAGTGCACTTTGGAAATGAACTTGCAGAGAAAAGAAACAGCTCAATCATCACAGTAAATAACCAAATTAATTTTCTCATAATCCATTTATCTTGGAACTGTTCCTCGTGTGTTACCCAGGCTTATTAGACCTATTTCAGGATGCATATTCACCACAGTGGTAAATTATTCAGCCACAAAAAACAGGATTCTTTGTTTTCAGGTTATTTTGTTTGATTATCCAAGAAAAAAGATTATTTGTATGTTTCATAAATGATTTCTCAACCCTCCAGAATTATTCCAGCAAGTTAAAATAACAGCTGCTTTACTTCTTTAACATATTTCATTGTGATATTCTTTCAGCTCTTACAGTAGACTGTATACATATATACACACACACAGCAACAATTAAGAAACACACACTGTGCATCAGCAGCTTACAGCTTTCAGGAAACATGCAACATCACTGACTACTGTCGGAATAAAATCTAATGTCAGCCTCATCAGCATTTTGAAGAGAAAGTGCTGAAACACCGAAACATGTTCATAGTACAAAGCTCAGACACATTTCACATGACGTGTTTTTGAGGTTCAGAGTCGAGCATGTTCATTTTGAGTATTAGCCTTTTGCCTTCTGTCTTGTGCCAAGGTCACGTCTTTCTTTTCATCGAATACACAAGAGAACACACACACACACACACACACACACACACACACACACACATAGTCACACACAGTCGCTTGAGCTCTCTGACCCAATTCTCAGTAGGCTTGAATGTGACATGATGGCTCGGGGTGGAATTAGCTGTGCTCCACTGCAGCCACATAGTGTATGTTTATGGTCTGTGTGTGTGCATCTGCGTGCCCACGGCATTAAGAGCTGCTACTGACACAGAGACATGACACACAGGTCCAAACAGCTGGAGAGGATGTTAATGTTCCAGACATGCTGTGTACTTGATGTCCTTCACATAACCCTGTGTGTGTTTGTGTGTGTGTGTGTGTGTGTTTATAGGTTGAGAAGGTGAAGGTGACCTGTAATGACAGACTGCCAGCCTACCTGACTACTGTGGTGATGATGAGCTTCATGGTGAGTCTCAACAGTCTTCCTGCGGTGTTACATCGTCAGCCCTTGTATTTTTAACACATGTATGACATTTAAACAGCAATATATAACATTTTTGAACTCCTTTAATTCAGTGAGACAGAAAGAGTAGCATTCTCTTTCCAAACTTTTCTTTCAACGTGCTTAAACACACTGTGAAAGAACACACAAATGTAAAGTTTATCCCTTCGAAAATGTGTAAATATTGTGCTCAGTGCAAGCCTGTGTCTGAGCTCAGATCCTAAAAGAATACTTCACCCACAAAATCAAAGCCGGCCTGACACATAAGTGAACTAAAGCCCCGTTCCCACCAAACACTTTCAGTATGGTACCTTTGGATCCAACAGTAACCCTTCAGACATGGTACCTAGACCCTAGTGTTTCCACCACAGACAGTACTCTTAAATGTGGGCGGGGTTGTTGTCACTCACTGCTCCGTCCAGCACTCACTGTATTTCCACATTATCAGTAAAAAACAAAATTAAAAAACAAAAAAAAAAGAAAAAAAAAAACATTTTCAGAACAAAAATAGAACAGGCTGCAGTGAGAGTCTCTCTCCATGGGATATTTAAAAATAGCAGCTTTGTGCATTTAGTCCTTCTCAGGCAAGCTCAGGGGTTTAGTGTTGCCATAGCCCACAGGAACAACACTCCATGACGCTTTTTTTCTTCTCTTACTTCTATAAAATCAACTGGTTAACAACCAGACCAGGCCTCTAATTGAAACAGGCCAATAGAGTGTGCCAGGGCTGACGTCAAAACCCGGAAGTTTAGCATCGCGCTGGTTCCCGGAGGAGAAAGTGAATGTGATTTTTGCATTGTGTTTTGGATTATGTCAGAAAATAAGCTCTGTGGCTAACACAAGTTTATGATACTTACAGGTTTTGTTCAGTGAGATAATCTTCACATATGAACACCTTTCATACAGCATTTGAAGCTTAAATGCGATCGCCAGAAGTAAAAAGCTAACGTTAGGCTTTAACGGACTACATGACTACTCCCTGGTCGCGTGACTCTTGACATCACCGCCACTAAGCTTTCAACTGATTTCGGCCGCTTTCTTTTAAAAACATTGTATAATGGGGAAATCGGACTGTTTAAGCTAAATAAGAAGCTGTAATGGCGGACTGCCAGCACTCTCGCCTGTTCGGGGGTGATGACGTTTAATGTCCCCGACAGGGTTTGAAGTCGTATTGAGCAACTTGTTAGCAACCGCCTTTTTTACGACACGTAAAAGCTTCAAAATTCACAAGTAGGGTATTTACTAATGTGTTTTATGTCGTAGAACAAAACCTGAAACTCGCTTAAGCTTTTGTTAACCACAGACCTTATTTGAGGCATTTTACCAAAATCCCATTCAAAAAACGTATTGACTTTTAGACGAGAGAACCGGAAGTGCTACAAGCGCTAACAGAGTTCCAGGTTTACTGGCACACTCTATATTTGGCCCTTTTTCCACACTTCCAGGAACTTTTATTTCCAGCAATTTTTTTACCTGGGTAAAAGAATTCCCGGTAATCTGTGTGGTTTGTGTTTCCATCAATCAGGCTGATGACGTAGATGATTCGGCATATGCCCTATATTTAGCGCCATGAGCTTGTCACCGAGTCAAAGTCCTGCTGAATTTCTTCCTTGGCAAATACGCTCAAACAGCCTGGACCTCATCTTCCGTCCACTTCTTGTAGCTTCTCTTCTTTTGCTCCGTTTTCCAAATGATCAAAACACAAATGAAGTGAAGCTTGTAGGAATGAAATAGAGTTTGCAGCCACACTGGCACGGAAGTGCGGAACGCTGCAAGTGTGTGTTCCACCAATCAGCGTTCTTCAGCACACAGCCCCGCGGCCCCCGCCCCTCAAGAATTCTGGGGGAATCTGAAAAGTCATATCTCCCTACTAGGTACTTTTTTCAGGGAAAGTTTGGGGCTGAGGAAAAGTTTTTTTCCCCAGTTAATTTTGTGGAAACGTGCCAAGGTCCCGGGCAAATGATAAAACTTCCTGCAGTGGAAAAGGGCTTTTGTTAAAATGTGTAGCCACACCCAGCTAGTAAAAGGGACTAGGCTTTTAATTGCAGTTTTATGGTAGTTTTGCTGTTTTTAAACGTGGTCCCCATGAACTTTAATTCATGAAGAATGTTCACCTTTTTTGGATTCTTTGTTCACCATGATGGCAATCAAGAAAATCAAATTTTTCTTGACAAATTTAACATAACAAGCGGTGGTATTCATATATAAGGGGCCATTTTGCGTGTGAAATCTTTAAAACCTGACCACAAATTTAAAAACCCCAATAGTAATTCGAACCAATGTTACATATGTTATTCCTTATTCTTTGAAGTCGCATGCTCAGCAGCAGTGCCCTCACTCACTCTGTGGCATCTTAACATGATAAACTATAGGCCTCAGCTGTGAGCTGAAAATGTCCGCTCAGTGTCATAATCCTCCAACAAAGAAGAAGACATCCCTGATTTGCTGGAAAAATTTTCCCTTTCGCAGCTCTTTGCTTTGTTTCATTCATTCGTGGCCGTTCGCCTGCCAGGCAAATTCAACACATACAGTGGGTCAGCCTCGTTCTTTTCCAGCCGCCCACGGCGGGTCCAACTTGGAACACACACACATACACAGAGAAGAAAGGCAGAAAAACAGAGAGAGCAATTTCTTAATAAATTACATTTAAAAGTAACGAAAACTGAATCTGAAGCAAGCCAAAAATTTTACATAACAAACCTGACCCAAACGCAGATTTGTCAGGACTTGTTGGGGGTTGGTTGGACAGCAGGAGGCTGTCGTGCAGCAGAAGTTGTTGCTATGCACACAGATGCATCGGTTTAGTAAATACAGGCTGTGGTAACAATGCGTGTCAGAACAGCTGCCCTTATTTTTCTCATTGTATACAACACCTGTAAAGACGTGTGGCAAGTTTCAACATCCTGGACTTTAACTTTGTTATATAACCTACAATACAGACTCAAATACACTATATGAGAGTAAAGGTGTAAATGTATAACTGACAATATTAAAGTACAGAGTTCAACCAATAGGCTTTTTAATATGTCTCACCTGCACTGACACTTTGTGGCTCTTCTGCTCCTTGTCGTTATTTTTAGATCCTTTTGACGTTTGTCATCGTCTTCGGGGTCATCCTGTACCGGATTAGCATTAAGGCTGCGCTGCATATGAGCACCTACCCTGCAGCACGGTCCAACATCAGAGCCACCGTCAAAACCACCGCCGCCATCATCAACCTCATCGTCATCATCATCTTAGATGAAATCTACGCCGCCATCGCCCGCTGGCTCACCACACTGGGTAAGGCACATGTCACTGTTGACCCCCCTAAAGGCATGATTGATCCACTAACTAGACATCAGTTATAGATTTTATTATGGCAATTAATTAAATTTTTTTGTGTTAAGATACGAAGCTCATATCTTTGTTTTTGCAGATTGTTTTCACATTCTTCTGCTGAAGGAAAAGTTTCTCCGATTAACACGAGCATGTTCAATTCACTTCAGTTTAATTTCATTTACATAAACCAGTATCACAAATCACAATTTGCATCAGATGGCTTTACAACATATGACGTCCCTCTGTCCCTCTTAGTGGGGAAAATAATGGTAGGAACTAGGCTGGGTGAGTGGTGTGTAAGTGTGAGTTGTTAGGCTCATTAGAGATGAACTGCACCTCGCCTGGAAAGTAGACGAGATCAGGCGGCTGCAGCAGCAGGCGGTGACAAAAAGCCTCGGTGAAGTTGGACAACTTCCCAACAGTTTCCAGCAGCCTTCAGTCTGTACAGGAAGTTACATAAACACTCACATCCTGTCTGATATGATGCTGATTTATTAAAATATTGTCAGACTCATATATCAGTTTGTTCTCAGTCTCCAATTGTTTTAATCATGATCAATTTTAATTTGTTAACTTATTTTACAAGCAATCTGGGATTTATATTCATGGTTCAACCTCCATTTTTCATGAACTCTCATGTAAATCAGGATCATATCAGTTTGCTGCTGCAGAGCAGACCTGTTGCCTCAACTACACAGGCTAAATATGTTGTGTCTGACTATAAGGTATAAAAAGGAAAAAAATAGATCAGGTGAGAGCCAGGCGTTTCCCATCATGTCCAGGGTCTTAAAACTGCGGCCGCTGTGCTCTCACGAGATTACCGCCATCCACTTTTGTATTATGTCAGAACAAGTTGGGATGAAGTCGGACACAAAACTAACCGGTGTGCATTGTGCAGCGATCGCCAGTGATCGAATCTGCGCAATCCTGGCTCATCTTGAACGAGCCTAGTGAGGCAATAAGGCCAGGCTCAGTGACCGAGAGGAACAAGAGTTCAGAAGGTGTAAAGTTGTATTTCTCTGTTTAATAAAGAAAAATAGTTTTGGGAATATTACTTTTTTCAGCACCGCACACCCATACCGTCACATACCATATACCAAAGTGAAATTTCAGGAAGGTTTGAGGATATAAAAACAATTAGATACCACCCTAAGAAAGAACAGTTGAAGAGGGATCCGTCTCCCAGGACAGACATGCAATAGATGTGGTGTCTATAGAACAGATAAACATGATAAAACAATCCATATGGCATGTTCCAGCAGGATTTTGTGACATCACAGCTTCTTTGGAAACTAATCAGTCTTGTATAAACCTTACAGGAATGTTTGCATTCAGGTAACAAGCACTGACAATACATTTTTCCACTGCAGATGTGGTGTGGACAACTGGGGGAAAATTATGGAATCAAAGAAAGATGAATGAGTTTGATTCATGTAGGGAAAAAATCAATAAATGTTTTTATTTTTTTAAAAGATATTTTTGGGGCTTTTTGCTATTATTTGACAGCTATTGTGTAGGGGAGAGAGGGGGGAATGGCATGCAGCAGAGGGCTGTGGGTTGGAATTGAACCCACAGCAACTGTGGCAGGTACACAGCCTTTGTACATGGGGCACCTGCTCTAGAAAGTGAGCTGTAGGCACCCCTTTGTTCCCAATTATTAAAAGTGAAAACGAAAAATTGTGGGGCGTACGCTTATTTCGGCTTCTGCAACAGGGCATGACAGAAAGAAGTTTGAGTGAAACAAAAAGTATTTTCATATCAATAGATTCTTCTTCATTTAGGGAGAAGAAGGAGATGTACTCTTTTTGTTTTTGTTTCAGTTTTGTTGGAAAACTTTTGTGGAAAAACCAAATCAGACACCAGTCATTATTCTAAGTATATTATATGCCTTCAAAACACATCTGGAAGGCATCTTTAAGTATTTATCAGTTTGCATAAGAAATGGACGCTACCTCAATACACCACTCTGCATAAAAAATAATCCGAGGCAATTTAAAGCACAACTTTGTTGAAGTTGAAATAATAAGAAATTAATCACAGTCGGCCATTTCACTACACTCAGGGGTTTTGCTGCTGCAGCCTTACTTGGTCTGGTGTGACCAGTGTGTCAATTTAAATCAGAAATAATATTATATTGTTGACATTACTTTGTCATTTTGCTGAATTTAAGACTCTTCACTAATTGTTGGACTGTCATGCTGCATTTTGTAATGACACAGTTTAACATTTTAATGGTGTTATTACAAAATGAAAAGAGATAGTACACACACACTGTACCTCACCAGGAGACATATTTGTTGTTGTTAGTGGCACTTGTAAATAGGATGCAATTAAGTAATAGAAATGAAAATAAAAACACATAAATGACTTACAGCCGGACATCAAACCGTGACACTATTTTCAGTTTACTGAAAGTTGCAGCAGTCTTTTACAAAATATATTAAAGTTGTATAATACTACAAAGTCAGTCACAGCAAGAGGGATCCTGGTTCGAACCCAGGGTGGGGGAGCCCTTCTGTGCAGAGTTTGCATGTTCTCCCCGTGTCATCATGGGTTTCCTCCAGGTACTCCAGTTTCCTCCGACAGCCCAAAGACATGCAGGTTAATTGGTGACTCTAAATTGTCCGTAGGTGTGAATGTGAGTGTGAATGGTTGTCTGTCTCTATGTGTCAGCCCTGTGATAGTCTGGTGACCTGTCCAGGGTGAACCCCGCCTCTCGCCCAATGTCAGCTGGGATAGGCTCCAGCCCCGCCACGACCCTCAACAGGATAAGCGGTTACAGAAAATGAATAAGATATATAAAGTCTTTTATTATAGGTATTAATGCTACTGGATGAACTGGATGGCAAAGTGTATGTGAATCAGTGAAGTCATGCATTGTTTTTTTTTTTTTTTTTCAGAGGTTCCAAAGACAGAGAAGAGCTTCGAGGAGCGCCTCATCTTCAAAACCTTCATCCTGAAGTTTGTCAATGCTTTCACACCCATCGTCTATTTGGCCTTTTTCAGGGGCAGGTAAAACAATGACTTCCTGTTTCTCTTTTTTTGTACATTTTTATGTTAAATCAAACTTCTGTGGGTCATCAATACTTCAAATACCTGCATCAATTGCTGCCATTTGGTCGACACGTATATCTAAAACACTGTACCGTGAGTATGTGTACATGATGATATAGTAAACTGATTTCTTCGTCTCACGTACAACATGTGATGCTTGTGTTTGCTTCACAGGCTCGTTGGACGGCCTGGAAACTACTTGTACGTCGTTGGATCGTACAGAATGGAAGAGGTAATTCACACTAAACAGAGTGCCACTTCAAGGTTAAGGCTGTTATTTTATCATTTTTAGCTGCATTAGTCTGTTTCTCAATAGTTTCCCACTTTCCTGTCGGTGGCACTCAGCCCACTGCTTCCTACTCATGACATAAATGTTAAAAATACATTGTGCTACCATATAATACTGCAGTTTTTAACAAACATTACTCGGATAGGAAGAAATAGTGCATTTGTTTGGGACTATTTTCAGCAGTGGATTAATACACATTTGGTCATGTAGTGAGTGACAGCAGAAAGGTGTATGTGGGGAGGGGAGGAGGATGAAGCAGGGGCTGGGTGACAGTGTCATTAAGGGCTGGGGAGGCCAGTTATTTAGAAGATATATTGGTTAATTTCAGGAGCTTGTTTCTATCAGCGAGGGTGAGCATGGTGACAGCAGATAGAGAAGTGCAGGAGGATGGGTTCAATAACGTTTTGATACAGAGGGAGCAGGAGGTGGGGTTTGACTGTGAGAGCCCTTAGTTTGCAGTTGGCATTGATATTTAGTTGCCAGTGTTTACGGATGTCTGCGGTGTGGTGAGCAAAGCTCAGTGTATTGTCCAGGATGATGAAGAGGTACTTAAAGCTCTCCACCATATCCACTGATTGGCCGTTGATGGAGGTGAGGCAACGGGGTGTGGTGAATTTATTGTAGCGCCTGGTGTCAAAGATGAGCTGCTTCATCTTGGTGATGTTGAGGAGGAGGAGGAGGAGGTCAATGTCTGTACACCACACCACAAGCTGTCTTGAATGCTTCTGAGATGCATTTGCACTTAGCTTTACGAGGCAGAGGATATCTGATCTGCCCAGGATGCAAGAAGTGACTCAGCAGACTGTTTGTGAGCTGAGTTTGAGAGCACACACATCAGAGTGCAATTCCATCGTTAAAGGATCTTTTAATTTCACTTTTTCAGTGCACAATTTGATTAATAAGACAGTGTGTAAGATTTCAGAAGATTTCTAGCAGTGAGGATTGCAAATTGAAAGGTGGAAACACTGAATTAAGCAGTTTGACATTATAAATCAGCAGGCACGTGCACAGATAGACCCCAGGTGATGCTCAAGCACCTGCCCTTTTGCCCTCTGACTAAATAAGAGCTCTTTTGCAAGACATTTTTTTCTGTTTCTTTTCATCATTTTACATCTTTTCGGTTTTAAATTTGACTCATGGCATCCATTCTCAATTAAATGTGTGTTGTATGTCCCTGCCCCTCCCTCTTTAACCTCCCCCGTCAGAGCCACCCCAGTTAACGAACACAAATTGAGCGCCCTACAGAGCAGCATCCACGTCTAGATAATTATAACAACTAGTGTGTGACTATTTATAAAGGAAAGAAGAGGAGAATAAAGTGAGAAGAGGAGGGCAGAACACACTTTTAGCCTGATTGCTGTAATTAAACACAGGCCTATTTGTAGTTTGTAGGGTAGATTGGTTTGCGGATTATTTTTATTTATTCATAGAACAGTGTTTTTTTTTAATTTTGTGTAAAGATTTGTTGACCGTAAATGGTTATTTATTGTATAGACCACTGAAGTCTACACAGTATGGCACTGTTTGTTGTTGCCTGTTATAAATAAATTATAAATGTCAAAGGTGTATGTGTAGCAGCTGCTGGATGTTTGATAATGATGTAGTACAGATCTTGAGACACCTCAGACAGACATTTCCGCTGCTCATTTCTGTGCTCGAATGTACTTAAGTCTCAAGAGCTCTTCTGGTGCCGGCAGACACATAGAAACCTCCTGGCAGGGCACGCTTTGCAGCAAACTAAAAGAAATCTGCATGCATTTTTTTTTTTTGAGGAAGGGATGCCCTTTTTTCCCTTTGAGCACCTGCCCCACAAAATGTGCACGGCACTGTAAATCAGTAGCCCGTTTTACATTGCCAGATTTTCCGCGAATGTTGGGCCGTTTAGCCGGCAAGCTGCGAGCGTTTAGACACACAGAGCCAGATTGGCGAGTTGATCCGAGGTGCCCAATTTTCCGCCTCGTAGGGTAGACATATTGGTGGAACCCTTTTAGTTTAAACAGACTGAGGCGGCCTTCCGCCACGGGAGGGGCTGTTGAAGACTTGTGGGAGAAGCTGCTGATGACGGCGCACGTGCGACCCACTGGCGGTGGATAAACAGGAAACAGTTGATAGCAGGAATTAGCGAGCAGCTAGTAGCAAGAGGGAAGCGCAAACCTGACAGACACTGTAAAGATGAGCAACTGGGGAGACCAGGAATTGCGCGCCATCCTTGCCCTCGCAAACAAAGAGGCCATTAACCGTCAGATGACGGGGACGGTGAAGGACGGGCTGACTTACGAGAAAATTGCCGAAAAGGACTGACCAGCCGCGGCTTCCCTCCCACGTCACTGTTTACGTCACACGCTGAGCTACACCTTTTGTTACTTGCTTACACCCCCCATTGCCCCAAAAAAGGCGCATTCTGTATAAACAAAAGTAGGTAGACAGCATTTTGCTGCACTCCCTGATTTTGTTTTTATACTGCCAATGCTGAAAAAAGACTGATTTTGCTTTCCTGCAAATTTACACAATTCCTGTTTAAAAAGGGCTAATGTTTGCAATGCATGTCGAGGTGAGCCGTTAGCCTAGCACCTGCTAATCTGTGCTCATCTTTTTTCTCTGATAACTTAAGATCCACATGATCAGGAGGTTTTTACCTGTAGCCAAATTGTCCACAGAAAACAAACAGACCAGGGGTCTCATTTATAAACATTGCATACGCACAAAACGAGGCCTGAAAGAGGCGTACGCCACTTCCCACACAAAAGTTGTGATCTATAAAAACAGATTTGATGGTAGAAACTTTGACCCATACTTATGAACATTTTGGAAACAGGAAATTGGTGATACAGATGGTGAGGTGGAGGCCTGATCGTAGAAATTGTCAAATATTTTTGGGCGCACACCATTTTTGGCTATTGTCCATACGTACATCTTTAGTATGGACCCTACGCATTGTTTTTTAAATGAGACTCCAGGTGATTTAAAGCAATAAAAACACTGAATAAAGCAGTGTCACATCTAAAAAAAATCAATGTTTCGCCTGGAGGGGTTCCTAACTATGGTGGCCAATGTGAAAACTTGAATGGCCCTATCTAGAGCTAGTGTTTGGTTTGTCTGTTCTACTGGAGAAACATGGCAGTGCAACATGATGACCATCTCCGTTAACAAAGACCCGCTCCCTGTGTAGATATAAACGGCTCATTCTAAGGTAATGAGTCATTATTTTACATTTCTGCCAATATCCCCTTGAAATCCCACACACTGCACCTTTAAATAATTTTTTGTACAATTTTGTTTTTAGTAGGCATGTAGCTTTTGCCTGTGTATTCTTACATAAAGTCACAGTGGTTTGTTTTTCTTGCTTGCACTTTCCACATCCCACTGTCAACTCTTCACCCCTTCACCCCCTCCCTCCCTCCATGCTCTTCTGCCTTGGTTTGATTCCTGTCACTTTCTTACTCTTGTTAACTTCTCTCTCTCCAGTGTGCCCATGCCGGCTGCCTCATGGAGCTGTGCATCCAGTTGTGTATCACCATGCTGGGCAAGCAGCTCATCCAGAACAACCTGTTTGAGGTTGGCATACCGTGAGTGCAGAACGTACACCGTCTAACACACAGAACACAAGCTGAACAACAGTTCAGCGTAGATCACAATACGTGGGTTCGGTGAGCCACAGAACAAATTATGCACACCCACTCAGTTGTTCTTGCGCCTGAGAGGAATCATTTAAATGACTGTCTGGTTTTCAGACACACTTACCTGCGAACTAGACAACACCTTGATGAACTCTGTCAGCCTGCAATTTTCTCTGTCTTGCTTTGTCCTTTCAGTACACTGTAATGGAAGTTCCTCAGTTTATTGTACTGTATGTTTGGTTCTTCCTCTTTATCACATGGTCCACCAAAAGCACAGTTCTATACAGTGGCACAGACATAATTAATATACCTAATATGAGTCCAACAATTACAGATATCCAAATGATTGATATCCAAAAATTAATTGTACTATATTGACTTAAACAGAGAGGTGTTTAAGTCAATATAGTATAATTAATATACCTAATATGAGTCCAACAATTACAGATATCTAAATGATTGATATCCAAAAATGAATTGTACTATATTGACTTAAACAGAGAGGTGTTTTTATTATTTTGTCCACCCCATTCATATCAGATAGGGTAGGCTAAATAACAGAAACAATTATCCATATAATGCAATACAGTTCAACAGCTCTAAAAGCCCCAAACTTGACATCAGAACCTTCATCACAGAGGATTTCTTGCAGGACTGATTTATTAGACTGCATTTGTTTTAGCTAGCTGGACTGAGGTCAATTAGAGCAGTGTTCCCAACTGGTGGGTCACGGGTCCATTCTGAATGGACCGCAAGTGACTCATGAATGTGTCAAGTTTCTAGAAAATGTACTTAATTTTGAAGTAAAGTGAATATCCAGCACAGAGCTTTTATTTTGAAGTGCTTTTTTCTGCTGTAGAGTGAGTGACTAACAGATAACAACTTAACAGAGACAGCAAACTGGCTCAACAACATGGCTAAACGCAAGTATGATGATGAATATTTTAAACTGTGTGGACCTTGAACTAATGACTAAGGCAAAATCTGGACTCTACCAGCAAACATTAGGCCCCAGTGAAAAGTCTAAATGTCTTATTTCCATCCTCGGTTGTTGGTGTTTACAGAAAGCTGAAGAAACTGCTCCGGAGGAGAAAGTCGACTTTGGACTCAAAGCAAGAGGAGGCGCTGAACAAAACCCTGCTACCCCACGAGAGAGACCACATCCTGGGTCCTTTTGTTGGCCTCAGCCCCGAGTACATGGAGATGAGTGAGTCTAAACATGACGCAGCTGTAAACAAATGCTTTAACGTACACAACCAACACATTCTCACTCAGTTCCTCAAATACAGCAGCTTGGTCAGTGGCCTCACGCTTCAAACTATGATCCTCTAGGTAACCCTCAAGCACTAGCTTTCCTGGCGCATTAATGTCCACTTGTTACTCGGGCGTCCCCTTGAACGTCGGAGATTCAAATCATTTGTCAGAGTACCTTCAGTCAACTGAGAATGCTTCAAGTTGAACATTCGACTTTCACGATACACTTTGGTGTGATCTGGGGGATCCTGTGGCGTTCCCAGGCCAGATGAGATATGTAATCCCTCCAGCGTGTTCTGGGTCTGCCCCAGGGCTTCCCACCTGTGGGAGATGCCTGTAACACCTCTAACGGAAGGCGGATGCCTAAACCACCTCAACTGACCCCTTTCCAAGTGAAGGAGCAGCGGCTCTACTCCGACCTCCCTCCGGATGTCTGTGTTCCTGACCCCATCTCTAAGGCTGAGCCCAGCCACCTCATTTCGGTCACTTGTATTCGCAATCTCATTCTTTGGGTCACTACCCAGAGCTCATGACCATAGGTGAGGGTTGGGGCGTAGATGGACCAGTAAATCGAAAGCTTTGCCTTCTGGCTCAGCTCTCTCTTCACCACAATCGCCCGGCTCAGCACCAAACTACCGATCCATCTCACTAGTTGAAAGGCCAGTGCATTGCACCTTGTGCATTGGAATCAGATGCTGACATCCACTGATCAAACTGCCGAATGAGAACAGGTTGTGCTGACATACACACTGCTGCTCTGTTGTGTTTTGTTTGGTCTGCACAGGTTATTGAACGTCATTCAGACTTTTGGCTTTAGTGATTTAATCATGTGCTGAACATTTAATATAACCACGTCTGTGTTTTATCCTTATTGATGCTGCTCGTCCTCCTCAGTAATGCATTTTCCAGCTTGTCTTGTGATTGCTAACAGCAAAGGTCCTGATCCTCGTCTGTTGTGTCAGACTGGTGTCTTCTGTTCAGATTCCAAAATAGATCCCGAAGAAGTGCTCGCGCTCTGTGTTAATATCAATCTCTTTAACACCCTAACCTTTGCAGAGCACCTCATGTTGAGGTCAAAATTAATAAGCATAATGGCTGCGAGCACTTTGAAACAATTATCTTAATGCTCAGTTTCTCTGTACCAACAAACACACTCCTGTGTAAAGTTGCTCCTGCGTCGTGCCGGGCCTTTGCTTGACATCGCAAATGTCAGCTCCTTTCAGCACTATTTGTTAGATAGCACACATATCCTTGAGAGCTGAAATGCAAACTAATGTCCATGTTGAGGTACACTGTGGTGACCTCTAATTAAATTAAAACCCAATTTCACAGCTCGCAGATTATCAATCGGTGGTGTGGAAACCTCAGATAGATCTTCATGTGCACCACAGATTTTTCTACATGTGTGTTTATTAAAGCTAAGCAGATTAAAGTGCCTGCTTTAATTTAGCTGCTCGGAGCTCGTGACTGTTGCGGTCGTGTAATTACTCTTTTTGGATCTATGTTATTAAGCAGTTGAGCTCACAAGGGAAGGAGATCTATAGAACAAAATTGGGGGAGGCTTATCCCAGCACTATTGTGTCAACCCTCTTATTTCCTCATGTCCTTGATCAATATCATTAAGAAGAAAGGTTGCTTCAGTAGCTGCATTCCATCTTTAGCTGTGACCAGTCTTGCATAACTAACTCTCTGATGGACAGTGTAAATCCAACCGCTGCATCACACAAATCACAGATTCAGTGCACACTGAGCATTGCACAAGATGTGGTGTAGAGAAGGTGGACCCAAACACAGGAGACAGCAGACCACAGGAGCTCAGAAAGATCACTCTTTATTCCAGGAACCAGCAAATGAGCATCACGCAACCAAATCAAGGCTCCAACAAAGACTGAACTAACTGAAAATCAGGGCTTTTATATAAACTAGTCAGATGATGAGGGGATGAAATGTAGAAGAAGAGAAGAAGGGCAGAGATGCTTAGGTTAGGGGAATAAACTGATGAGGCAGAAGAACAGGGAGGGAGCTGATTAGGAAAAAATCAGGAGCAGGGAAGGACCAAAGAGGCTAACACAGTGTGTAGCTGGGTAAACGAGGGAATGGCGCTAATTGAAGAAGAACTAAGAACAGGTGAGTGAAACTAATCAGGGGGGAGCTGACAAAGGGCCTTGCCCAAACTACCCCCAACACCCTCTCCCTACCCACTCTCACTGGGTCTCCCACATCGAGCACCAACCCTAAACCAACAAGCTATGAGTGGAAGTGAGTTATAAAACCCACTGACAGTGAGCCAGCACATACAGATTAAATACAAGTTCTACAAGTACATATGAAGAATAAAGAATGGGAGAAAGTTTTATTTTTCTTTATTATGAAAAACATAAACTTGGATTGAGTTTTATTCCTCTTCATGGTTACGAAAAGTTACGACAGTTCCTCTGTCCACCAAATAGAGAGAAGGTTGTTCCACATCTTGCCTGTATTTATCCCCTACCGCTCAGCTGTGAAGGTGACCACAAACGGAGCGACACTCTGAGACTAAGAGGGAGTGAAAGGCCCAAAGAACAAAGCAGGAAATAAACGGAGTAACGAAGGAGTGAATCTACAAAATACAACAGGAAACAGCTTGAACATGAACAAACATGAAACAAGGTAGAATACAAACAGAAAATCTGACAAACAAAATCCTAAAGATTAGAGTAAAAACTAAAAACCCTGGATCAAGACAGATGCAGAGTGTATAAGGTGTCCCAGCCACAAAAATGAATGACAGGTTCAGTAAGCCCTGACTCCACCCTCTTGTCTAAACAGAGCAAAACAAATCACTTCTCAAATGGCTCGGCATTGATTGTAGTAATTCGGGGTCAGACAGGTGTGACAAACTGTTCTGTGCCTGTGTGAGTTATAGTATATGAACATATCGATCATTCAACCTTTCAAACTAATGAGTATTGATCGACTGTCTTCTGCATTATTTCAGTCGTAAACACAAAATGATCATGTAAATACAGTATTTGAAAATGTCATGGATATTTTTAGCCACTGTCATTGGATATAAGCTGAAAGTGGATCAAATGTCTGCGTGTGAAGTGAAAGGAGTCGTGAAAGGACTCATAGTGACAAACCCACAGACATTTAGCACCAACTCTGCAGACGACTCAACTTGCAAACTGTGAAAACCAAGCACATGTTAGCTACATAAAACAATGAAGCCCTACTCCTGACTCCTGTCCGACTGCTGAGCGTGGCCGCTTCCTGTGTTTGTCCTTTGAAATTGAATTCCCACATGGTCCAGTCATATAGGTTTTGATTTATTTTGGCAAGGCACAGCTCCTAATAGAGTTTTTTTTTTTCTTTCTGCAACTACTACTGTAACAACCCACCTCTACTCTAACATTTTCACTGGCGTATATACTGCTTTGTTTACTAAACTTGTTTCCAGAGGGGTTTGTGACATCAAACACGACACACCAGAAAAAGAAAAGAAAAGGCATACAGCATCTATCGCCTATTTTTAACAGGTTTTCACGCATGTGAAAAACTGGCAAATCCTCCTGAGAGCCGAACCTTTGTTTCGTATGCATTTTTAATTTTTCCTAGCTATTTGGGATCAGTAGAACCCGATAAGTAGAAAAAAACTGAACATTGTCAACAATAATAACGTCCCAATCTCAAAAAACAAACAAGTTCCGACCATAAAATGTGATCAGGTTTTGGACCTTGTCCACTTTTGTTTCGGGATCGGCTGCAGATTGACTTGGCAGAGATGGCTGCCATCTTGAACCCTGGAGTGACAGGGCCTGGAGTCTGTATGTTCTCCCTGTGTCAGCGCGGGCTTTCTCCAGGTGCTCCAGCTTCCTCCCACAGTCCAAAGACATGCTGTTTAACTGGTGACTCTAGATTGTCCATAGGTGTGAATGTGAGAGTGAGCGTCTCTATGTGTCAGCCCTGTGTTAGTCTGGCCAGTGTCAGCTAGGATAGGCTCCAGCCCCCACGCAACCCCTGACAGGGTAAGCGGTTATGGAAAATGAATGAATGAATGAATGTTGCCAGAGAAAGCCACTTGGTAATAATGCAAATGCAGCGGCTTTCATCAGGCGGCCATAGGCTTAGTCACCATTGTGCTACCCATTTAGCGCTACGTAATGACTTATAACAGGCATTATTTAAATTAAATTCTTCAACATTATTACTTCAATGTTCCAAGATAACAAATTCAACATCACTCTCTCTGTAGTCACTATTTTTTTCTTGATTGCCTCTCCAAGGGAGAGCCTCAACAACCTCATAAAACTGTATCATTATGACAAGCGTGGAAATATCTGGCTGCTGGAGATTTCTCATCATCGTTCCAGAAACACGACTCCAAAGGAATATTTATGTTGCTCTGTGTCAGCTGGATGTGTCAGTGGGCAACTGATTCCTTTAAAGGGTGATAAAATGTGTGTTTTTAGTGTGTTGTGCTGCTCCCGAGTGACCAGAGAAATGAATGCAGCTTTAGTTTACCTGAGATTTCCACCTCGGCTGCAGCTCTCAGAGCTCCAACCTGCATATCTCATCAGCCCAGCTGCACAGTCGCTCCATCTTTTCCATCAGGAAAACTATAACTCTTCAGAGATACTCATCTGAACATGTGCACAGCAGAAATGAAGTAGATTTTTAGGTTATTTTACATGTACACAGCAGCAGTGGAGCATTCAAACAGCTTTTTGGCCTCATACATTTCACCCAGTTTCCCTTTTAAAAGCAAAGCATGTGCACATCCAGTAACTTCTGCTAATTTCTTGTCTGTGTCTTTAGTCATCCAGTTCGGGATGGTGACTCTTTTCGTGGCCTCCTTTCCTCTGGCTCCGCTCTTCGCTCTCCTGAATAACATCATCGAGATTCGCCTGGATGCCAAGAAGTTTGTCATGGAGCTGCGCAGGCCGATCGCTTGCAAAGCCAAAGACATCGGTAGGTGTTAACTCCCCTGGATGATTTCAGCTACATCAACTTCATAAGGGTGAAAAAAATCCAGGAGAAAAGCCCAAACAAGAAGGAGAAATGATATACAGTTAGTTCTATGTTCAAACTGGTCTTCACCTCACTCTGCGTGGACTCTCTGTATTATAGACTAATCTACCTCAGACAAGTTTTGACATACATACAGGCATGTAAATACTGCTTGTTCAGACTTGAACTGAGGGTACCAACATAATGACTCTAAACACAGAGTGTCCTTAAATGCACCAGACCTCTGGTGCCTTTTAAATCATAACACTAATTATAGCCTTTATTTGTGTAGCACTTTCAAAGCAAAGTGACTAAGTGCATCACAATCAACAAACAATCATTGACTGAGAAAAAATGATCAGTACATCACAGAGAGTTTAGAGAATAAATGAGTTTGTAAAGCAGAGATTTAAAGGAAGTTACTGACACAACGATCCTCATGTCTGCAGCAAAGTTGTTCTAGAGTCTCGGCTCAGCAAATGCATAATCTGCTTTAGTTTTAGAGAGGAGGTACAGGCACCAAGGCTCACACATGTGTGCTGTGGTCAGACCAGAGTGTCCACAGGGAATCAGCGTCAGAACCTGTGGTACTGGTCAGCAGCTCTGTGAAGATTCTCAGTCATCCAAGTCATGGTAATCCCAAGTGGTACATCGTAGACAACTGGACTTGCTGGAGTTTCTTGAAGACGTTTCACCTCTCATCCAAGAGACTTCTAATGAGGATGAGAGGTGAAATGTCTTCAAGAAACTCAAGCAAGTCCAGTTGCCTATGATACAGCAATTATCATAAGGATTACTGGTCAGCAGTAATATTAAAGGGCAGTTAATGGTTAACCAACATTCCTACAGTACAGCACAGTCTATTTACAGATGTGCTTGTGCCATCTAGTGGTGGCAAGCAAGACTAACAGGTTATAAAATATACAGATAAAAAACAATTTGGTTCATAAAAACTGAGGAAAGAAAGGAAGTTCAAAGGTCAAAGTCAAGGCAAATCAGGAAAGGCTCTCTGATAAAAGTATGTTTTAAGAACATATTTAAAAAACAAAACTGACTCTGATTGTTCCAGAGCCTCAGGGCCCTGACTGCAAACACTCTGTCCTCTTTAGCTTCCAGCTCAGCCTCTGCTTAAGGATGTACATGTTGGGGCATACGGTACTTCGAAGTCAAATCAAATAACCAGAGCTGCCTTTTTATGGCTGAAAAACACAGCACGTCTCCAGCATATCTCGCCAAAACTCTGATCCATGCCATCATGACATCTTGGACTGACTGCTGCTACAGCATTCTGTATGGTCCATCATCCAGAGTCCTAAATAAACTCAGAACTCTACTGCTCAATTGCTCACCTATTCCCGCTCTTGGATCACGTCACCCGTCCTCCAGAGCCTTCTGGGTTCTCCTCCTCGCTCACAAAGCCCTCCTACCTCACCGACCTGCTACCACTCAGGGCCAGGACCTCAGGCTACAGAGCCTTTTCATAGCCGCCCACTCCCTCTGGAACTTCACCAATCTCTCCCCATGAAAATCATTAATCCAAACTCACTCTTGGGTCTGATTGAAACCCTGGTAGCTGACTGTGTCTCTGTCTTTCTGCAGGTATCTGGTACAACCTCTTGAGAGGCCTCAGCAAGGTAGCAGTCATCGTTAATGTAAGTCTCGTATCTTTACAGTCACTGTTTAATTGTACTTCCAAAACATGTCTCAAGAAATGAAAATGTAAATGTTGCCTGTAAAAATTGTGTCGCCTCTATGGAGTTCTTTTTCCTGTAAATCGAGGAACCAGGAAGGAGTCATAGTCGAAGCTGTTCATTTGATTGCATGATGACATTCAGCAAATACGCGCTTCTCTCTCCTCCAGGCCTTTGTCATCTCCTTCACCTCGGACTTCATCCCACGGCTCGTCTACCAGTACATGTACAGCCCTGACGGCTCCATGCACGGCTTCGTCAATCACACCCTGTCTTACTTCAATGTCAGTGACTTTCAGCCGGGCACGGCCCCTCTCCAGCCGTTCCACCTGGGCTACAAGGTGGATGTCTGCAGGTAAGATTTCACTTCACAGCCAGGTGCACGTGATATGTCTGCTGATATATTTATATTTATCTCTCTAATACAACCATATTTCATCTACTGTCGTACAGTGTCATCATGTGTTACTGATTATTTTAATGTAGAGCACTTTAAAAATGGACATCTGTCAAACTGTAAAGCATAAAATTGAATAAATCTCGTCTTTCTATCTCCAGATATAAGGACTACAGAGAGCCTCCCTCGTCCAGCACACCATATGAACTCTCTAAGGAGTTCTGGGCTGTTCTGTCTGCTCGTCTCGCCTTCGTTGTTGTCTTTCAGGTTTGAAACAACACACTGTTAATTAATATTAGAGCACACACACTGCGTGCCTCCACATGCTCTCAAACAGGCATGTCGTTCACTTTAGCCATTCATATTTTATGTGGGCAAAGCAAACAAAAGTGCAAACAACTCATTCATATTTAATGAATTCATGGCCTCTGAGTGATGTAGTTCATTGAGTGGAAATGTAATGAAGGAGGCTCTGTAGACTTGCCTGTGAGGAGGTGTTTGAGAGGAGCAGCTTGAACGTGACCTGTGGCTGTTTGCTTCTTCTACATTGGACTGAATTTCCTGATTTGACTGATTTGATCAATTTACAGTCACAAGACCTGTTAAAGGAAACTTTCACCTGCTTATTCTATGGGGTGCCGTCTGTGAAGTGGCTCACTCTGAAATTAACTGCAACATTTTGCCACATTTAGCTTCAAACTACATTTAAAAAAACATTTTACCACATTTATAGCAATACTTGAAATACGTTAAATATAATGTCACAGTCAAATGTAAATGTTAAATCTAAATCTAAATGTTAAATGTAAATGTTAAATGTTTAATCAAAATGTTAAATCTAAATATTAAATCTAAATCTAAATGTTAAATCCAAATGCTAAATGTTAAATCTAAATGTTAAATCTAAATCTAAATGTTAAATCCAAATGCTAAATGTTAAATCTAAATCTAAATGTTAAATCTAAATATTAAATGTTAAATCTAAATGTTAAATATAAATCGAAATGTTAAATCGAAATGTTAAATATAAATGTTAAATATAAATCGAAATGTTAAATATAAACTCAAGATTTAACATTTAGATTTAACATTTAGATTTAACTGTGCCATGTAACATATTTCAAATATTGCTGTAAATGTGGTAAAAAGTGACTTAAAAAAAAAATTGGAGGGCTGGGTGATATGTCCTGAAAGTTATATCACAATATTTTTCAGCCATATGTTAATACACAATATATATCTCAATATTTTTAAATCTCCTAGAAAGCATTTCAAATGATGCGACAAAGTTGTAGGGATGACCATTGTTTTTTTTTCTCCAGAAAATATTAATACAATGAGACTTTGATCAGTAATCATCAATAATGTGGATATAATGACTGAGTGGATTAAGGCAAGCATTAAAACATATAGAAAAGCCTGGTAAGTTGATAGAGTTATATCACTTAACTGTGATGCAGCCTTTAAAATTAGGGAATAACACCATTTATGCAATATCACGCAATAAGACGATATATAGACTCATGGAGTGGTACGATCAGTAGCTTATGATGGTTAATGTTAGCTGATGTATAACAAAATCATCAGAATAAATGTTGGCATTGTACCTTTCTGTAAACCACAGATATGTTACATGTGTATGTTTCATACGTAGCAGTTGTGCCGCAGCTTTTCTTTTCTGTTATGACAGTGTTGTGGTTGTGTTTATGCACAATAACCATTTGGTTGAGGTTAAGAAAAGATCATGGTTTGGCTTCAAATACCTGCTTTTGTAGCCACGATCTCGGCAGGAAATGTCCTGACATGTCCATAAAAAAATACCTGCTTTTGTTCATTGTGGTCTGCTTGAGCAGTGGGTGTGCGTCACAACTTTGTATCTTTTTCAGTGCATGTACTAACAGATTAGAGCAGCCAAAGTGCGAGAGTGAGCAGCACTGCTGGGTTGCAGAACATCTAGAGATCAGGAATCTGGCCTCTTTTTTCCATGTGATGTGCACAGTTTCACTAAAAAAAGACATTTGAAATGTGATATTTTTTTATAACTATACTAATATCATTCCAGCTTTCACTACTTTCAGTGTCTAGATCACTCACAGACATGAAAAACTATCAATATCTATTATTAACTGAACACATCCTGTTTCCACTTCATAATAAAAGCCTTCTGACAACGTTCCTCTGGGCAGGATTCCTTTTTTGTGGACAAAAGGCTTTTTATTGTGAAATATTTGCATGACTGTGTTAATGACTGTGGTTATAGATTGTGGAAATTCAGTAGTTGCAGCAGCAGGCAGCTCTGCAGCAGTGCTGCAGCGGTGCCGCAGCTGCAACGCTGTCTGTGTGAACATTGCACATGTGCGAGCTGCAGCAGTTCGGCTGTCACACACTGCTCACGCAGGCAGTGTTAGACAGCGGTCTGCTATTGTGTGGTTACAAGCAGATGTCTGGAAATTCAAATTCTGGAAATTCTCAACCATCCTCTCCTCCTCCTGTAGAGAAAGTCAGCTCATATACGTGTCGTCTGAACTATGTTCCTTTAGAAAAGTTGACTTGATAGGTATGAAACCTGTACAGAAGTGTACAAATGTGACATGACTGTGGTTTGTGAAAACATACAGTGCCAACGTTGTCTTGTGGTGACTGGGCTGTGATGCTTGCAAACTTTAGATAGCTTACTGTGTAGATGCGTTGGTGACTCTTCTCTTCTTCTGCCACTGTTCCAGTAAATTTCAGCATGTTCCAGATAAACATTCTATCATTAAGCGATAAAGCAAAACACGATGGCAACACAGGCACAGTTCAGCAAAGTAACATAGTCGTGCTTTAGGCTAGAAAATCTGTGGTGTCTGAGGTGTTCTGACCTGCTCTGTGTTTCCTCTGTCCCATCCAGAACGTTGTGATGCTTATGAGCGACTTTGTGGACTGGCTAATCCCGGACATCCCCAAAGACATCAGCCTCCAGATCCACAAGGAGAAGATCCTCATGGTGGAGCTCTTCATGAAGGAGGAGCAGGGCAAAAGGCTTGCAGCACGGGACCACCACAACCAGGACAACTCGGCAGCCAGTCACAGCCCGCTACAGCCCCGCTCCCGGCCCGTTTCACACGCAAACTGCTCCTAAACCGCTCGCTGCTGGGTGGGAATGAAACCAAGCGCAAACACAGCAACTGTATACAAACTGTAAATAAGTTAATCAGCTGCTTAAAGCTAGCTGTTAGAGGTTAGGACAGTTATCCATAAACACATGGTAGGTTTTTATTAATCAGCAGAGCTTTGCTGTGTTCATGCTGTTTAGGATTATTTGCAGAAACAACGTGAAACATACATTAGAGTTTCTTCACATTAAAACTCTTTTAACACTTTTCTCATGTTCAGGCAACACATTTTACAACAGACATGAACCAAAACTGCAGCAAGCAATTTGACAATACTCAACACATTATTTATTGGATGTACTGTATTTGAAAGGAACAAGCCATTTGCTTCATTTGACTCTGGGAAAGAAAATCCTCATCAATGAGATCGTCATTCAGGACGTCTGAGAAAACAGTGCCAAACCCCGCCTGCAAGCTAATGAATCATGCTTATTCCACCATTACCTGCCGCCTCTCCCCCGGGAACTGAATGCAGCTTCTGTATTGAAGACTCCGTCCAAACCGTCCTTGAGAGAAGAATTTCCTCCTGATATCTTACTGGTGAGATGCAACACAAAAGGAGATTCTCCCTCTTGTCATCGATGTGTAAAGCTCAGATAGGCCTTTTTTTAGCACAATTAAATCCAGGAATTTATTGATATACTTTTTTTTTATATGCAACATGGTCAAGCACATGTGCTTTGGTTGTTGGGATGGAGGTTTTGGAAGACCTTCTGTGTCAAGCGGCCTGAATTGTACTATTCTCTTGTATACGAGCATCATTGTGCTCATTGTTACACTTGTTACATTTTGAGTAGAACAAACTGCCTAACAGTGGCGTTAGTCCTGGAAAGCACAAGTCACATTATTGATATTCATTCCAATGAACTGGAATTCTTAAAGCTGCGATTGGCGAGATTTACAGCGTAAATACAAAGTGATGTCATGCTGCATCTCACTGCGCTGAGATGCTGTACTGTAAATACTCACTGTGTGTCCTGTTACACACCTATCAAACTCTGGGATTGGGTATAGAGAGACATATTTTCCACATATGGAACTGTAAAATAAAATTTAAAAACCCTCTAAAGTATCTCTTGACGCTGCAGCAGAAAAAGCTGAAAACACATCATTGTCATATTGTCACCTGAAGCTCCGTTTTACGTTTCCACTGTGAATAGTTGTGGATGGTACCAATGAAACTGTTCCCTGCTGTCCCCATGTTTGGTCCCCCCTCTGTTGGGGTACCTAGCACACAGATCTGGTGCTAAAAGGTGGAGCTGTGAACACTGCAGTCTGATTGGTCAGTAGAGGACGGTCACTCTGCTCAGGGCTGAGTTGTTGCTGGTTTTGAGGCTCATGTAACCACTGTTCACACTGTGGGGAGTTTTATTACTGTAACTATAAAATGAAAGGATGTTTCGTTGCCTCATGCAGCAGCTGGAGTCTGAGAAAAAGAATTCACTGGGCCGACTGGCTGCGACTTTTAAGGTGGAACATTAACTTGTAATGTCACTCAATGCATGAGTTGACGATGTGAATCCATCAACACACCTTAAATTTCACTGTGACAACTTCGACCAATATTTTAGTTTGTATATGACAGACACTTTTAGTAATGAGTGGATCTTCAACCTTTTATATATATTAATTTCATCCGTATTATGTGAACTGCATTTATTCTAATCTTCACTCAGAGAAAAAAAAAAGCGGAGCGTCGTTCCTGTGGGCTACAGCAACACTAAACCCCTGAGCTTGCCTTAGAATGACTAAATACACAAACCTGCTATTTTTAAATATCCCATGGAGAGAGACTGTCACTGCAGCCTGTTGTATTTTGTTCTGAAAATGTCGCCATTCTGTGGATGATAAATGAGGTACAGACTGCCATCTGTGTCACCTGTAATGAGGAAATACAGTGAGTGCTTTACGGAGCAGTGAGTGACAAAAACGCCGCACACATGAAAGCGCTAGGGTCTAGGTACCATGTCTTAAGGGTTACTTCTGGTTCCAAAGGTACCATACTGAAAGTGTTTGGTGGAAACGGGGCTTTATAAAACCACCATTAGGGGTGTTACACTACACATAGTGGTTAATATTTTAAATGATTAGCTGCTATAATCAACAGGACTCTAAATGAATGCTCATGTTCCTCTGTGTCTGCTGGGTGTGTGACATGTTTGCTAACAAGTTTGCCATATCAACGTAATAAGTGATAACATCAGTGTTGTGTTTTCAGCGTGCATCTGCTGCCCCCTAGGGGCCACAAAATCAGTTAATGCAGGATTAACTAACTGCAAGCGATCAAGAGACTCCATCATTTAATCTTTTGCCTCATGTGTTCATTTGGATCATTGACAAACTGACCTTACAGAGAAATTCCTATAACTTATGACACAATTCTTCATCAGTCCAGCTTTTGAACACTTTTGAACCACCAATGGGAAATGTTGGCTTATTCAGCTTTAAAGAGCCCAGAAGATGTCAAGTTTTCTGTTTCACTGATTAAAACCATAAAAGCCATTCACACCTTTGTATATTGTTAAGATGCTCAGCTGTATTTATTAGAGGGTTTTGCTGGGTGTAAAAATTTATGACAGGTGTTCTTATAGATTTAATGTCGTGCACTGAAAAGTGATCCTAATGTACTCATTTTTAAAGTCACATGTAGTGGTACATGTATGTGCATACAGTGTGTGCCATCATGCTACAAGCTGCATCTTGAAACAAATAGGATTGAGAATTATTTCCCATTGAGACCCTAACTTAAAGGCATGCTATGCAGGATTAATCGCTTACTGTTTGCAAACACAACATTCAAACTTGGCCAGTCCTCCTCGAGGTCAAGTATGCTAGAGAGTGAATGATGAGAGGGAGCGGCGTTAACGAGAACAAAGCAGTGAATTAGAAAATGAAACGTTATGTTCTTATTGATCTAAAGCACAAATAAAAACCCACAACTCAGCACAACCCTGCAGGGCGGTGCTGTATTGCCAGATTTTGTGGGAATTCAACTGAAGCGCATGCTACACCCTGTCTGCTTGGCTTCTCTGCTCTGTGTGTGTGGCTCAACCTCACCCCTGAAGGTTGACCCCAGAAATTTTCTAAAGAAACTAAAATAAGAGGAAAATATGAGACGTGGGTGCAGATGTTGTTAGTTGCGTCTCTGTCAGCTCTGCTGAAGTTGAGCTAAATGTATGCTCTAATATCTATTTTGGAAGTGTTGGTGGTGCTTTTTGTGTGAGAGTTGGGATGTGGAAATCAGTTCAACAGTCTGTAAACTCTCCCTTTGCCGACTTCTAGCTAGATGCTAACTGCCAATTTGAGATTTCCAAATGTAGACATTAGTAAACATTGAGGAAAGATGGAGAAGATGGCACCAGCTGAACTAGCATCCATGATAGCCATTGTTATATGGCTATATACTAGACGATCTCGACGTGCCGCATCCTACGGGATATCAGGAACTGTAATATCTGTTGATTTCACCAAAACTTGGCTAAATCCTGGAAACTGCCATTCAACCAGGACGCGCTTTATGGTGAATAAGGACCGGTGTGTCTGTGGGAATGTGAAATGCAGTCCTGTTCCTGCTGTGGATCACCGAGGTTGCTGCAGTGCAGCACTGCCCTTGTGACCATGTGGCTGTCTTATTGAGGTCGGATGTTCGGACACTTTCACAACCAGAAACCATGGATTACCAGGACCATCCTGAAACATGGACAATTATAAAGCAGCAGCCAACGATGTAGAAGAAGAAACAATAAGGTCTAAATTACAGTGCAGAAGTTAAAGGAGCTGATGGATCACATTTCACTAGGGTTGTACCTTGTATATTTCCATGTGAGGAAAAAATGGTTGAATGATTTAAAAAAAGAAAATAAAGGCAGAGGACAGGTTCTCTGAAGGTACAGACACCACCACACACTGCTAGTGTGTCATAAGTGCTGACTGAGACTGATTACCTCTGTATGAGTCAATATATTGATTTTTTTGTAGGAGAATCCTGCATAGCATGCCTTTAGGTTGTCTCTGCATTTGGCTTTGGCTCAAGTAGGAATTTTCAGCTTCTTGATTACTCTGGAAAGCAGCGCCAGCGACTTGCCCAAGGGCACCACAGTGACAGTTGTGGAGGCGACAGCTTTACTGACTGACTCTTAGCCTGCCTTATATCCTCCGGGCCGCTCCAGGGATAACCTAAACTGTCACTGGCACATTTAAAATTTACATTTAGCGGGTTTTCACACAAAGGGATAGTCAAACCAGGAAAGGCCACACTGTTGCTATATTATTATCATGCCTTATATTAACCTTGTAAATGAATTTGGCATTTTCCTAAAGCTGCAACTCTTTAAATATTCAAGCACAAAAGACTGAATGATATTTTTTTGTATTTATCAAACTGCAAAAACTCGTTGGGAGTGACTGGATACCACTCTGGAGATAAATGTGTAAATGTGCTGTCGGCTGAAAGGTGCAGTCACACGTACAGTCTACACTCATCGATGTGTCACATCCTGCCCCCTGCTGTAAATATATTGAACTACCCCAAATTTAAGCCCTCAACCCAGACTGATAGAATGTATTATTAATATTATTATTTTTAATTTTCAGTGATTTGTAATCACTGTTAGGTCAAGATATTGTATAGCTGTTTTTTTGTAGTTTCATGATAATGCATTTCCAAGTGCGTTAAATGTGTTGAAAGGGTTTTTTCAGCCCACAGGGGACCACTGATCTGATATATGTAGTGTCTTAATTTTTATTCATTATTTAATGTACTAGAAATCATCAATAAGGACCTATTTCGCTGTACCTGGATGGAAACATCGCCCACTACAGACCACAAGGACATTTCTATCACAAAAGACCTTACTTCTTCCTGGGATGTGACCTGCTCTTCTGAGCAAAGACTGCACATTTTATTTTTACCAAATCTTAATACTGTTGATACTCTGTTTGTAAAGTAGGGTTAGTGTTGATATTCAGTGATAGATGACATGCTGCCGCGGGGCCTGCGGAGCCTGTTTTAGCTACAATGATCTTTTCCTGAGAATCTCTTATAACCTGATGTCACATGTGAAGACCCTCCCTCGATGTCCCTCATGAGATGTCCTCCCGCCCTCTGTGGCCATGTTGTATTTACAGCATCAATAAAACACTGCAAGTTGTTGTGACATGCTGATATCTATTGTAATGTCAAAGCACATTTCACAACATGCGTGAGTGTATATGCATGTATAACTGACTCGTCTGTCTCTGATAATTTGAGTCTTTTTTGTTTAAACTAACTGCAAATAAATGAGAGATGAACTGCCTGGAGTTTGCTTTTTTTTTTTTTTGAAAATGTCTGCATTTCATTTTGAGAGATGGGCAGCATGTTGTTCACTCTCGCATGAAGTTAAGGTCTAGGCTACTTTATGCAAATCAGGGGCATCCAGTGCAACTCACCACATCTGGAAACTCCCCTAAACCTTTAAACTAATCTCTAAAAAAAAACAAAAAATGGAAATAAGGAATAATTCATTACATTGTAAAGTTTTTATAGGTTATTTATTAGAGATCGTGGATACAAGCAGCTGAAATTAATTTCCTTCGAGAGGTGGCTGGGCTCAGCCTTAGAGATAGGGTAAGGAGCTCGGACATTCAGAGGGAGCTCGGAGTAGAGCCGCTGCTCCTTCATGTTGAAAGGGGTCAGTTGAGGTGGTTTGGGCATCTGATCAGGATCCTCCTGTTAGAGGTTCCAGGCACGTCCAACTGGTGAGAGGCCCCGGGGCAGACCAAGAACACGCTGGAGGTATTTAAATGTATTACATATCTCACTGGGCCTGGGAACACCTCGGGATCCCCCAGGAGGAGCTGGGAAGTGTAGCTGTGGAGAGGGATGTATGAAATACTTTGCTCAGCCTGCTGCCCCTGCGACCCAGCTTTGGATACACAGTTGAAAATGAATGGATAGATGGATATTTATAGTTTATGGAGAGTAGGCATATATTTTATAACATAAAATGGCTACTTTACAAAAAAGAAAAGAAAAACATGATGGAGAAGGGTTTGCCATTTCAGAGGCACATTTGAACACAGGCATATTTCTAAGGTAGCAATCCAAAGCCCCATTTCCACCAGGCAGTACAGTTCAGTTCATGTCCCCATGTTTGGTCCCCCCTCTGTTGGGGTACCTAGCACACAGATCTGGTACTAAAAGGTGGAGCTGTGAACACTGCAGTCTGATTGGTCAGTAGAGGACAGTCACTCTGCTCAGGGCTGAGTTGTGGCTGATTTTGAGGCTCATGTAACCACTGTTCACACTGTGGAGAGTTTTATTACTGTAACTATAAAATGAAAGGATGTTTTGCTGCCTCTTACAGCACAATATACAGTACATTTCTCAAAATAAATGATGGCACGCCTACTCCTTAGTAAGGCCAAGAAATCTAATCTCATTCAGGAAGTTATGCTGTACTTTGCCTTGCTGGTAACATTTCCTCAGTATATTTATGGCGCAGGGAATAATGAATTCAGCCTTACAGTGGATGAAACAACTTGGGGAGAAGTTTGGCAGATGGCGAGGTAAATCTCAATATATATATTATATTATTATATCTATATTATGAAGTAAAAACGGTCATAAAAAAATAAAAATTGGGGTGTGGGTGTTCCCACAGACTTCCCTGAAAGTTTGGGTGCCTCTTTTTCTGCACCTGACATCTTACGTCATCCAGGTGTGACTGAAAGCAAGCCGAAACCAAACAAGAACAGGGATCAATGCAAAGTATCAGATCAGCACCCACTGCAGGCAGCTGAGCAGATCCACACCTGATTCAGGATCTGAGCAACAGTTAAAGAATTTCACCGGAACCTGTGAAGGAGATAAACTCAGAGACAAACAGGCGGAAGTGAAAGTAAAACCCAAGTGTTTCCTAGTTCATAGACGGAGTGGCACAGAGTCATGAGCGCTCTACAGTTTAACAGCGTTTTACTGGAGATTTCTAACCAGCTGTCCGCCGAGCAGCTGGACAAACTAAAGTTTCTGTGCCGAGACATGATCGGGAAACGGGACCTGGAGAAGATTAACACCGGAATCAGACTGTTTCAGCTCCTGTCGGAGAGAGGCAAACTGTCAGCCGACAACACGGAGTGGCTGTGTCAGCTCCTCGTCGAAATTAAACGACAGGATCTCTCCGACAAATTGAACAATTCTGAAAGTCAAGCTGGATTTAACGACAACCAACCGGACGAGGAGGAGAGAGGTAGGTTCACGGTAACGTTATGAGACACACTGTGCTGTGGAGCCACAGGGGCGGTGTCTTGGAAACACATTGTCTCGAGGAAGTTACTGCTGCACTAAGTTACTACTACTATTACTACTAACCTACTACTACCAGGCTACTACCACAAACACCAGTTACTATCCCGCTACTATAAAGCTACTAACTAAAAGCAGTGGCGGCTTTAAGGGAGGGCCACAGCCCCTTGATACATTTTCTGGCCCCCTTTGTAAAAGTAATTGGAGACTGACATGAATGCTTTTAAGGATGCAATCACACTGGCTATTTGGTCTGCTTTAAACGAACCCTGGTCCGCTTCCACAGATAGTTTGGTTCCTTTGGAGTGGTGTGAACGTTCATTCGAACTCTGGTGTGGATCAAACGAGCGAACCCTGGTCCGTTTGAAAACTGGAGGTCTGGGTTCGCTTACAGAGGGAAATGCAATGGAACTATTCAGCAAACTAAAGCGAGGAAGTGACGTAGAGCGCAGTGCATTTTGGGAAGAAAAAAAAAACAAAGCCAACAGCGTGAATCAGGAGAAGCGGGTAAAAAAGGAAAAGCAGCTTCTTGTGAAAAAACAATTAGGCTTGAACACCAAATTAAAAACAGAAATCCCTGCATAAATTTGGTGTTGCCCCATTGTTTTTGTAGTGACCAAGCCAGCTGAAGGGGATGGATTTCCTTTTTCTGTCCTGTCCAATCTATGAGCCGGGTTTTCTTATTCCTGTTGTTGAGCAGCTGTTGTAACTGTGTGATGCTGTCCAGGTGGTTTGGTTGCTTTAAAAGGTGCAGTGTGAAAGTGAACCGAACCAAATTAAAGTGTGAAATTTTCCAGCATTCCCCGCCCTAAAGGTATAGACTCTTTTACTGCGACTAAACAGACATTAGCTAGTGCTAGCTAGCTAGCTAGTTCTGCTGGCTTGTTAGAGGGTACATTCAGACCTAGAGTTGTCTTGCTTTGGTCTGAATCAGGGACTAATTTTGTTACAAAGTTGTATAATTACCTAGAGCTGGTTCATGTTCTCACGGCAGCATTTACAAGCAGACCAGATAAAATGCCTTGTATGAGAAAGCTGCTCTTGATTGGTCAGAATTTCCATGTGGAAAAAATCCAGGAAGTAAAGCAAACGTTGAAGAAGAGTACACTTGCAAGATAAATGTGACACTTTCTAATGTCTCAATGGAGGGACAACTACGCAGGTTGATTTTAGCGCTGCTCATCGTGGACTATATTGCTGTCATTGTTCATTTTAGTCAAACCATACAGTTTGAAAACGAGGCGCGGCTCCAACTAGAAAACAATGTTTTGATGCATTGGATGTGCTGAATGTGCATATTAAGGCAGTACAGGAGGAGGTGCACATTAATAATCCTCCAGGATTGTAACATGCTCATGTTTCACCCAAACAATGTGTCTTGTGACTGCAGTTGGTTCGAAGAAGGAAAGCATCTCTGTTGACAATGGCAACAGAAATTTTACTGATCCGGCGGGGCGTTGTTCATAAAACAATGCATAGCATCCATGCTAAAAATGTGCGTACAGACAAAAGCCAAAAATGGCGTGTGCCAAAAAATATTTGACAACTCTACAATCAGCAATTGCATCATCTGCGTCGCCAATTCCCTGTCTGCAAAATGTGTGTAAGCATGGGTCATGGTTTCTCCCATCAAGCCTGTTATGAATCACAACTTTTGCATGGGAAGTGGCCTACGCCTCTTTCAGGCCTTGTTTTGTACGTACGTAATGCTTATAAAGGAGACCGCAGATCCCCAGCACAAGAAGAATCGTATTCAGGTATTGTTTGACTGCAGGCGTTTTGAAAGATGTAGCAAATCAACACTGATTGGCTGTGTCAGAAAACAGAACAACATCAGGCATGGGTTTCTGTTTCAAATCTGTGGCCTTTTAACCACAGATTTGAAACAGACATAACCCTAATAGCATCACCATGACATCATCAGGGGTACTTTCTAAAACTTGACAAAGCTCCTTCAAAGCTACTATAAAGCTGTTATTACAGTCTGAGTTGCACTCATGTTTGGATGAGTAATATGAGTGAAATGCCCCTGTAAACTCCACAGTGCATTGAGCAAATGTGTAACTCATACATTTCACAATCCATCAGTTCCTTCTCTGAATTTGCAGTTCCACATTGCTCTGACAGATACAGCACATGCTCTGTTACCAGCACAGTCACTGTAAACCTGTAGGTGTTGCCTCAGTATATTGACGCATATACAGTTCATTGTTTCTGGTGTCAGTTTGATATATAATTTACTGTGAGTGTCAGGGCAGTCTAGTCCAGGCATCTATTGTATGTGACGAAATGTTAAGTTTGACTCATATTCCACATGTAGTTTAGTAACGGAGGTGTTTGCAGCTGTTTAAATAAACAGCTCCCAAACACAAAAAATGTCCCCTGGGATCTATGTATGTAAATCAACAGGTGAATTCTAAATGATTGAGTTGTTTTTTTTCCACCTGGACCTTTATGCTCTGCCATTTCTCCTCTAATCATCACGCTGTAACCTGTGACAGGCTGTTATGATACCACAACTATCACACATTCACATATATGTAGTTTTTGTCGAGCCGTTAAGTAACATAGGTTTACATTACCAAAGGTTTATGACAGAAACATTTCACGACACTGACTCCGTGTGCGCATATGTGCTGCTGCCAGAGGAGACCCTGAATGAGTTCCCTCTGAGCAGTAAGTCACTAAAAGAGTCTGAGAAGTCCGGGGCTGTTCATAAAACATTCAGGATGCAACAGTTTATTCCACACTACTGAAGCTGCTCCTCGTTTTGGAACCACAGCGAGTCAGTAATAATTTCGCTTTCAGTCGTGCTCGTTGTTGCCGTGGGTAACGGTATGATGCAGGTCTGGCCATATCACTACTGTTGCCAGACACAGATAGCAGCCCACATTTTGTCTCACATTTCCTTTTCCTTGTTGGACAGCCAATTTAATTGCTTGAAGCAGAGGACAATCGCTGTGCTGAGGATACTGGCCTCATTCGTGTCTGACACTTGCCACCTCGTTTCAATTTCCTCCATCATTTTACTAGTGGAAAAAAAACAACAAACACTCAAATACTGTGTTGGACGTCGATTACCATGGCAAAGACTGAGGCCCTGAAGCATTCTGGCCGGTCCTATTGATGCCCTCAGTGCCAGTATTCCCCGGTGGTATCAAAAGTTGTGTCAAATATTGATATTTACAAGGTTTTAGAAGTTCATGTATTGTGACAACACTTTACTGTACATACAAAAATGATTTTAATTCTGATATTAACACTAAATGAACCTCAGACATTATTTTATTCTCACTGTTAGCCTCAGGGGGGAAGGGTGTTTGTTTTTTATATTTTGATAAAGATGCTTTGTTTTAGAGTTTACAAAATTAAACCCTCTGTCTCCTCCTCCTCCTTTGTCAGCCAAACTGGACATTGCCACAGAGGTGATCGCTGAGAAGCTGGGAAGGAACTGGCGTAAACTGGGCCGTAAACTGGGACTGAATGACGTGAAGCTGGAGTCCATCTCCAGGAGGCATCCCACAGAGCTGGATGAAATAGTGAGGGAGCTGCTGAAGGAGTGGAGGAAGAGTCAAGGAGCCGAGGCCCGAACAGAGAAGCTGATACAAGCCCTGAGAGCCTGCGACTTCAACCTGACTGCTGATAATGTGGAGGACGCACTTGCAAAACGCTGATATGGGTGGAGGTTTACAGATCATATAAGACTGAGATGAACTCTAGGAATGAAATCGAAAACTCTGACTAACCTTCAAGAAAAGAAAATTAACTTTCAAGAAAGTTATACAAAGATATATAAACGTATGCAAAAAACTATCTTTTGATCAATAAATTGACTTCTTGAATGTCAAATAACATGATTCTGATTATGTTTCATGGTTTTACCTGAAGAGGAAAACAAACAAGTGAACTCGGACATATTCTGATTAATCAAATAATGATAAAGCAACTGAATGGGGAACATTTAAACATTAGTAATTATAATGCGTCACCTAATAATGATCATCCGGCAACAGGGAGACTTCTGCAGGTGATTGTGGACACATTTACCAATTAATAATAAGTTTCATTATATTACATGTTTCAAAACAAACATACAAAATGCTTAACAGTAAAAACAAATAATGAAAATAAATAAAATCTAAAATAATTGAAACAAATAGCAACAGTTAATAAAAAGCCTTGAGATAAAAGTGAGTTATAAGAAAGAGATGTAAAAGTGTGACTTCCTCAGCTGAAGGGCCGGGACAGGAAAGGTCTTAGTGACACTGTGAAACCATGAGCCTGACCATTCAAGGCTTTTAAAACAAGCAGTAAAGGACTGGTGTGATGTGCTGGTGCTCGGTGATGACATGGCCCCCACAGAATAGTCCTGTAAGTCTTGTGCGTGATTTATCCTGACTTCATACAAGTAGAGGAAGTCTGCTAGCCACTTGGCTAATTTACGCAATGTAAAATGCCTTAGGCTGATGCTAATAATGTTAGCATGTTGTATTTGTAGGTTTTGAATGAAAGTGTTTTGTCTGTGAACTAGGCTTTAGTGTCAAGGCCAGCAGGGGGAACCATAAATATAAATTGAAAATTTAGAATTATAATTTAAAATCTATAAAACTGCAGGACATTTTTGGACATGCGTGTACAACAACTAAAAACAGCAGAGAGTGAAAACCAGATTGGATTTGTTGGAAGTGTTGTTCATTAAAGAAACCAGTGTGGAGACAATTTTTTGGAAAAAAAAAAAAAAAAGCCATCTGAGAGATATATGTCTAAAATGATATAAAACAAAGGGATCTTCCTCTTAAATTGGAATAGACAGAGCTGTTAAATTATCCAACTGTCTGAAATACTGCTTTTTAAAACTACGTGGAAAAGCAGTCTGAAGGGCAGGTGAATGGTCAGGGAGGTGCCACAGTGTGTTTCAGGGTTAACAGAGAGATTTCACTTAAGTGAGTTAAAGGTGGGCAGCAGTCAACATCAAACTCTCAGGATACTCTGTTAATGTGCTGTTGAATCTCCACTATTTTGTTGTGAAAGTAAAGAAGAGATTCTTAATTTCTCTGGATAACTGCGGGACCACTCAGAGTTTATGGTTTTAAGGAGGATTCTGGGATTATGATCCTGTTTCAGCAGAGTTAGCTGTGAAAATACTTTGCTTCTTTGATTACACACTTGATACTGTCTTATCAAATAGCCATTAATAAACACAGGGGGAAAGGGAACTGTGTGAATATAGATCAAAGTTATTTCAAGAACAGGAACAGAAATCAACTTGTTCATTTTCTGGCTGAGAATTATTTACTTAAATGATTAATTATTATTTTTGTACTGATTAAACAAACAAAACATAATGTGCTCATCAGTGAGCATTAGTGGTGCTGATAGGCAGAGTTTGTGACCTTTGGACAGAGCCACGCCCGCTGTTTCCCTGTTTACAGTCTTTGTGCTAAGCTAAGCTAACCAGCTGCTGCCGTCACTTTAGTCCATAGTTTACAGATGTGAAAGTGGTATTGATCTTCTCAGCTAACTGTCTGCCAGAAAATGAACATTTTCCAAAATGGTGAGCTGTCCCTTTAAGATTATGTTTTCTGACTCAGAATAAAATGAACAGGAGTGAATTGTAAGAGAAGAGAGAGCTTTATTTTTTGATCAAAAGCCATCAAACTGTAACACCGATGATTGATTTTCATGTGATATGAAAATAAAATGAGATCGTATTTGAAATAAAGAGTCTCATTTACATCTCCAGAATCTACAAAGTGCCTGTGTTACTTGCCATTTCATTAAACAGTCAGGCAGCAATCAGCGTTTAATGCTTTAGAAGTTTGCAGGTTTGTTGTTACAGGACAATCTAAACTGCCATCCGCCCACATCTGCTTCATCGGCGTGCTCTGATGTCATCAGGACGGCAGGTCAAAGGTCACGTGCAGTTTCTGCAGAAGGAATGCACATTGTTAAGGGAATGTTTTAGAAAGATGATTGATAGATTGATGGATTGATGTAAGACATCCATTTGTTACATTTCTAGAGGAAGTTTTTGAGACAAAACAACAAGAGCATAGAGTGTGTTTCACCTTGGGCATTGTGTTAGTCGATTGTCTTTCTTTTAAGCACCACATTGAACTACGTGTGAAAAGGCTGGAGCTGAAACTGGGTTTTTATTTTAGAAATAGACACTGCTTGTCTTTCTTGGCCCAAAAAAGACTGGTCTCTGCTACATTCTTGACTGTGCTTGATTATGGAGATGTATTATATATGAATGCACCCTTCCAGTGTTTGCGTGCTCTGGACTCTGTAAATTAGTGCATTGAGATTTATTACCAACTGTAAGCCCCAAACTCATCACTGTATTGTGTGTGCTCAGGTTGGCTGGCTCTCTTTAAAATTTCGTAGACTTTTTCATCGGCATTCTTAGCCTACATCCACCAAGAATTGAATATGGCTCTGCTCTCCACTCACAGAACATTTTTTATTGTCTTTACAGAGGGTGCATACAGAGTTTGAGCACTTATGTATGCAGCTCTCTATATGTGGAATATTCTGTAGAAGGACGTAAAGTTGCACTCATTGGTTCCTCTCGGCTGTTTCAAAGCACGTTGCAGGATTTTTGCACACAATCTTCTATACGCCAATGTCAGGGTGTATTTTAGTTTAGCTTTTCATTGTTGTAATCTCATTTTGTGTTTTATATTGCTTGTTTTAGAACTGTATATTTTTTATTTTGTATTTTTCTTCTATGTTGTCTGTCCGTAATTTATGTTGCTCTCTTGAAAAAGAGATTTTTAATCTCAAGAGGCTAAAAAACAAATGTCTTCCAAAGTTTATCTGAAGTTGATGCAACTCTTTATGAGTCTAAATTACAAAGTTATAGTCTTTTAGTACAACATTCTCTCCCTGTGTGTCCCTGGACAATGGGTCCTTATATTTAAATGACACAATACGTCATTAGAATGAAACATAGACAATCTGACACCTCTGTTCAACACCTCATCAGGGCCAGTATGGACAGGGAGAATAACTGTGAGCAAAAATTGCTTCAGTGCCTATATGTGCACCTGACTGTTGTTTGAAGACTGACTTGGAAAAAAGGTTTTACTGTATTAATTGTTTGTGTAAGTTTGTCTCAAATCCAGCTGAGCCACAGTATACTTACAGCACTGGTACAGCCTGTTCAGCCTCTCAATGTCGTTCCTGCTCATCTGGGTGGCCTGGCCAAAGGACACATTGTTGTCGGGAATGGGCAACATAGTGGGACGGTTGTTCTTGGAGAAGGCGTACCTGGAGAATCACAGATACGACAGTGCAAAGCAGGTTGAGCTTGGGTTCAATTACCTGAAGGGAAACAATCCCTGAAACCTCAGGTGATTTTAGTCATTTGATGTGTAGTGTGATAATGTTTAAAAGCAGATTCACACTGGTCAGTAGCTCATATAGGAGCATACGCTGCTCATGTGATCATTGTCAGAAACTTACGAAGAAACACTGGAAAATCTTCACAGACACTGATCAGAGTCACTTAGATGCAGTTGGTGAAAGATAAATGAAAATGTGTTGAATAAAATAAATGATGTAAGCAAGTTATCCGTACCTCTCATATTGCATGACGGAGTTGTAGTCGTAAGGAGTTCCCTGGTTCAGAGTGGCAATCTTGTCGAAGTTGTACGCCATGCCTGCAGAGATGAGAGAAAATATGCAGGATGTAAAATCACTCATACACTGTTTTAAAGTTCGGTAAGAAGATCTGAATCTCGGTTTAATCCTTTATTGCTGCAGCTGGTATTGGCCTCTGGGAGCGGCTGATGCAGTGGAAGTTCACCTGTTGTTGACTGGTGGTGATATCATTTAAGTTTTGATGTGGCATTGGTACAGCAGTAGTGTGGGTGTTTTTCTGTTGGAAAAAGGGGTTTATTTTGTGTGTAGTTTTGGTTACCCACGTATAGTATACTTCCAGTGCACCAGCCTATAGATTGGTGGCCACACCCCCTGCAGCAAGATGCTCTAACGTTTAATTACTCTTATAAAATTGCTGTTAGGGATCCTGAATTTTTTAAAAGCCTGTAATGGCATTTTGACCGTGGGCTTCGTTATTGAAGTTCACCTGTAGATATATAACAGTTAAGTTGGGTGTTACAGACTATTAGCAAAACTATACAAATAGTATTTTTTTAGGTGTAAAAAGGACCGAATGTGGGTATCGTTTGACTGGAGAAATTTGGTCAATATCTTAAAGGTAAGAAAAATTGTTCAGTTAAAAGAGGTCTTTGATTCATACATCTCTGGTTCAGAAGTTGCCTGTACACCTTTAACATGGTGCTAACAGTGTGAACAGTGCCAACAAGGGCAACAGTGCTGACAGAGCTAATGGTGTTAACTTTGGGGGCATCTGATATCAACGGTAACTGCCGTATGAGCGCAGTGCAGAGCAGCAGCGATTAGCTAGTCAGTGGGATGCTCACATGACACTCACATGCACAAACATGCATGCACAGCTGGGCCGTCTACCACAACAAATAACAGAAAAGCTCGGATTATAGCACACACAGTGGCAGCGTGCCATTACTCTACCATATCTTTCCATAGCAAATAGTGGTTTGCTACTATAATGTTGCTCTGAATGTCGTATAGTGCTCCTTCGAGAAAAAATTAAGGCTTTAAAGGAATGATGTTTCCTCCATGTGTTTGCTTAATCGACAGGTGCCTCTCTCCTTTCATTAGGTTTAACTTAAACAATTAAGCTATTTCTGCCTCTGAGAACATATTTAAGACTAAACCAATGCATGTAACAGAAGGTGAGCCCGTCTAACCATCGATGATGTTTTCCCATAACACCCTGATGTGATTGTCCCTGTCGGAACGAGTCTGTTCATGGTTGAAGCCGAGGGCGTGGAGCAGCTCATGCTGGACGGTGCTGTGGTACAGGCAGCCCTGACGGCTCAGAGACACAGTCTGACCTCCACCCTGACGACCCACCCAGGAGTAGCAGCTGTAGACACATGAACATAAAGCAGTTTTAAGGAATCATACAAGTTATCACCACGTAGAATTGTGAAGGAAAGTGCTGCTCTGCAATCCTCGTAGAACAACAGTGTGACAAGTGTAATTACGGTGCGCTCTGTCCGATCTGGTTGAAGTAGTACATTTTGGAGTTAGAACATAAGTCGTCGATGTGTATGGCTTAAACCCTGCAATTGAGCAGTGAACCTACAGCCGGACTCTTACCCGTCCCTGGACTCAATGCTCAGCCACTCATGATCACCGTTCTGGTAGGGTCTGAAACGGATGCAGGAAACTGCAGAGAAAGACTCCAGTCCACGAATGATGATGGCCCGCTCACGGGAGGCTGCAGGACAAATAAGGCAGGTTTAGAAAATCTGTAGCAGTGGAGCGTTTTCTAAATCCACCGTAACCTTTCCTAATCCATTCATGTTGTGTAATCGAGCTGTAGAATGCATTGTGGTTATATATAATATTGTAAGTGGAAATAATTCCACTAAATTATTTTGGAATGTTGCAGAATTAAGTTTTACTATTATCAAAAATAGCAACGTCCCACTCTTAAAAAAACAGTTTTGCATTCCTGTGCATCAGTAATTATATAATGTATAAAAGGCTGAGTCTTGGAAGGTTTATATTGATTTTATACATAATTGCTTTCTATTAAATACATATAGTGTAACTTATAGAAGTGAATACAAAGAAACTCACGGTTGTGCAAAGATATGAATATTCAAGTCCATCTAAATTAGCTG